GCCGAGCGAGCCGAGGCCGAGCGGGCCGCAGCGGCCGCGTGCGTGCGCGCGCGGTGCGTGCGGTGCGTAAGGGGCCACGCACGAGCCTCGCGCGGAGGGAGCGAGACCGAAGGGTGAAGGGGGGAGAGAGGGGGAGGGAGAGGGAGAGAGAGAGAGAGAGGGGCGGCGCGCGCACGCACTTCGGGGGAGTGGGGTGGGGGAGGGCGCGCGATGTGCGTCGGCTGTGCGTAAGCCGGCCCGCCTCCCCCGCGAGCCCCGCGCGATGCCACCCCACCCCACGGAACGGCGATCGATGCCCCGCAAAAGTTCTACGCGCGGCGCTGCGAGCACGTGGCGAGGACTCGCGCGACCAGCGACTGCGGGTGCCCCTAAATGGGGGTTGGAGGGCGCGCCTCTTCCGAAGGACGCCGGCCGAGCCCGAGCGGTTCCGAAGGACTCCGAACTATCCCGAGCGATCCCGAAGACGGGCATTTTCTCAACGACGGGGCGAGCGGGAATTTTCACTTATTTATGGATGCTGGATAAGGTTAATTATATGTAGGAGAGAGAGGTGAGAGGATATAAACCCTGGTTCTAGTTTGCCGGGGATGATGTCGTTGTTTTCTCGACGTACACGTGCTTGCCCTCGGGAGGAAAGGAGAGCTCCAGGACTCGCTTCGTCTCCCTCCCCCGGAAGGGGCGCTGGAGCGAAAACCCTCCCGGTGGGGGCGGCGTGCGTGCGCGCGGTGCATTTCGATCCCGGGAAATATTTGGGTTAAGCTGCGAGTGACAATCGAAATACCAAGGCCTCGGGTCCGGTCGGACGCGGGACTTTCGCCGCAGCTCCGGGGCGAGCGAAACGGCGCGTAAACTCCGACGCGGATACGCGCCCGATCCACCTACGCTTTCTCCACTTTCTCCCCTTCCTCCCTCCCCCCCCCCTGCTGCCCCTTTCGGTCCCTTCGCCCTTTGGCCCCCGCCATTCACCTACGCTTTGTTTACCTTCCGCCCCGGAAGAACCGCGCGGCGACCTCGCGTTCCGAAATCGTCGTTTCCCGCGGGGGTTTAGGTTATGGCGCGCCGAATCCTGAATTTACCGCCTTTTCGACCTGGCTCGTAAAACGGTACTATCCTACACTTCCCCGTGGGCAATTTTTCCTTCTTCTCATTCGTTGAATCGTTTTTCGGCGGAGTAGTTGCAAAGTACCCGCTGTTTGCTAAAAAGAACGTGATACGCACTATGGAAAAAATGGACGACTGTACAAGCTGTAACTTTACAAACTGTAGTTATATGTCATGTCCTTTTTAGGGACTAACGCCTACTTCGCGGGCAATTGTTTAATATTATTTTTCTCAACGCACGTGATTTTAACCTTCGGTCGGATCGGACGATTCCTTAAGGCTGTTTCCGGTGAGGAAAGGCCGAAGATCGACCTTTCCTATGCGTATCGATTTGACGCCGTGAACCATTTCACGTGGTTTTAACCTTGCCCATCGGTCGAATCGGACGATTCCTCGAGGCTGGTTCCGGTGGAAACCGAAGATCGACCTCAGCAGGCGGTATTGATTTGACGTTGTGTACCACCGCCGTTGGCAACCGCCATTGGCCAGCGTTCCCATTGTAACGTGCCTCTCCAGGAACCCATGAAAGCTTCCTTAACGATTCCCCCGGTCTCGAAAAAGAAGCGCAGCTCGTCATATAATTCTTGGGTCTTCTCTATTTGTGCCACTAATCTAGAATCATCCCCAATTCCGCGAGAATTATTAAACGAACGTTCCCCAAGTTCTGAGCGAGCCAAGAGTCCTCCCGTCGTTAATATTTCTCGTCGATGGCACTACCCCACACCTCGATTGTCTCAATTTTAACAAAGTATATACGAGCTTTCGGGGAGAAAATCTCTCGAGGATTCGCGCGGTTCGCCGACGCAAACAACTCCCGGGAACAAAGATGGCGGCGGGGCGGGCGGCCATCTTGAAAGCTCTCTCCGTCGAAGTTCCCGTCGATGGAGGCGAGCCGTTAAGTTTCCGGCGAAGTAATTTCCCGGTTCCCCTCCCCGGGCATCTTCTAGTTTCGGCTTTTTTTTCCGCCGTCGCGACGCCCTTCCCGCGGCCCGGGAGGGGACGCGGAGAGTTTCGAGACCGGTGAAAAATATCGGCGTCGGTGTCGCCAGGCCTCCCGATGGGCCGTAATTCGTCGAAAGGTCAGTCCTCGGTGTTTACCGAGTGAGACGCTAATGGCAACCAGCGGGAGCAGGGGAGGTTTTTCGGGCTCGTCTCCCTGACGGGGTGTCGAACCCGAGACCAAGGGACGCCGGATAAGTCTAAAGGGTTCCCGGAACCAGGAGACTCGCGCAAACATAACCTCCGATCGGCCCCACCGAAACCGGAAGTGCCCCCCCAAAATCGCGTCCCTCGACACCTCGCTGCCAATAATTCATTAAGGTCCCTCCTAACCTGCAAATCCCACCGAAACTCGTCCATAAATCCGGCAAAGACTCGGGTCGCGCAAAAGAGCGAATCGATTTAGCTCGCGCCATCGACGCGCTCGACCACCGGCAGCAATGGATGAGCGAAAGGGTTAGGTTCGAGATTAAAAGGAAGTCATCTCCCTCCCGCGCCTCGGCTCTCCATCAATCACAATTATATATCCTCTCTCTCCCCTGCTATCGTTCATAATTACTGCTCGTGACTTTATCCACGGCGGTGCACCGGTTCCGTCCCTCTCTCTCTCTCTCTTTCTCTCTACCCCGTCTTTCTCGCGCTTCCACTCTGCGACATCGCCCCGCGAAGAAGCTAAACGGAGGAGGAAAGAAGAACGTAGGAGAGAGGAGCTTCCAAAGGAACGGGGAGCCGGTCGGAAGGGGAGGAAATAAAAGAAGGAAGAAGAAAGGAGCCAGCGACTCTCTCGTACTTTTCGCCGAGATTACTCGCGCGAGAACGCTCCCAGGAGCGGGCGTTTGGGGGGAGGGGCAGGGGCGAAGGAGGGAGGAGGAAGGGGCGCACGTGGAAACGGGGCATTTTCAAGGGGGGGGAAAAGTTTTTCGCGCACGACCACCCGAGGAGGAGGAGGCTCGGGGGGAGGGAAAGCTCGTCGAAGCCGTTCAATTTTCCCCGAGAGCTTCCAGCTTGCGCTCTCTTACCGACTGCTTTTACCTTCGCCTCTGCCGGGGAGTTTTCGCGTTATTTTGGATGGCTTTGTTTCTACTTAGCGCGAGGCCGAGGGGCATCGACGCGGCCCTGGCTGCTTGGAGGAATATTTTCCTCTTTTTTTTCTTCCCCCCCTTCCATTTCATTCTTTTTTCTTTCACCTCCACCTCTCGCCCCCCCCCCCCCCCCCCGAGCTGGCTCGTCATTTTGGATGATCGTTGCACTTTTGTCGCAGCCTCTGCCGTGCCGGGGAAGGAGGCCCTCGGAAATATAGGTAATTAAGAATAATTAGAGGTCCAAAGTGCTCGCGGCAAATTGGAAACGAGAGGACGGAAGACGCGGAAAATGGAAAGTTTCGGGGAACGAAGAGTAATGGCGAGACGCTCCGCCATCGCGTCTCGGTACAAAGAGGGCCAGAAGGGAGAGAGGTCGCGGGCCGGGAGAAGGAGACACGGGAAATGCAGTAAAAAGGAGGAAAAGGGAACAAAAGCGTCGAAAAATCTCGCGACGGCCGGGAGAGCGAGAAAGGCAACCCGGTACGATCCTTGCCGCCACGGCGCCATGTTTTATCCCGCATAGAGGAAAGTAAAAGGGAAACCTCGAAACAGACACCGAACGAGACAATATTTCTAATTGAACGTGTCCACTCGAAATCCCGGAGCTCGTCGGAAATATTCCGGACTTCGTCCCTTCCCCCGGGAAGCTTCTAAAAATCCATTATGGTTACCATAAGAATTCTTCGGCGACGCGCGTGGCAACAACTTTACGCGCGGGAAGTCGGGGAAAAAGCGCCCTCCGAGGGCGGAGGAACATCCCTCGGAAGCTTCCAAAAGGAGAAGAAGAAAAGAGAGGAAAATGTCGCCGGCCCTCCAGCGGATCCTCGCGACGTCGGCGCCGCGGCGCCCTCGCAGGATAATTGCGTGCGCAGGTACACGGCTGGCCTATTAGCACGAGAGCGAAAATATCCCAGGACTCGACTCGGGGGGTGCGTGCACGCGTATAATGGAAACCCTTCAAGTAGCACCCCCGAGTCGCGTTGCAGCCCCTTACGCACTCTTGGATTACGGGCGCGGGGGTGTGCCGAAGAGCGGTGGGGCACGCGTGTGTGCGCGGCCGCGCGCTCGTACGTGCCTAGAAATCCAGCCCTTTTTTTAACCCTCGCAGGTGGGGGAGGCTTGGAGAGCGAATACGACACGTTCGCACAAGTGCACGCGACACGGGGGTGCAGCGCGCTGCAGAATCCGGAGGGGGGGACCCGGTGGGTGGTGCGCGCGCCAGGGGAGGGAAGTGCGTGCGCGTGCACGCACCGCGCGCGGCCAAGTGGGGGAGCGGCGCCGCGACCCGGGATGCGCGCAGGGGTAGCTTTTTCGATCTCCGAGGTCTTGCGCTCGATCCGAGTTTTTTCCCCACAGGGTGAAAACCTAACGCCACCATCTTGTTCCACAAATACAAAACGTATATACTATTCTTATCGAGTGTACGGAAATTAATATAAAAGGTATACAAAGATCCTTATCTCTGTTTCTTACACAAATAGTCGAAGGAGCTGCAGGGACGGATTCCACTTTTCTCACGAATGAGAGAAGTGGAGGTGGTCACGGGTCCTTTGAGATTTATACACAGAGATTTACAAGAACTTTGCGAGCAAAAGGTAATATGTATAATAATAGGTCTGGTCTCGGGGTAACTCTTGTAGCCTCGGAAATACTTCGGACGTGCCGTCGCTTTGAACAGGAAAATTAAAAAAAAAATATATATATTCCGGGATTTTTTTCAACCCCAAGCTTTGTGCCGGTTTTCCTTGACGAGCGGCGTATTTCATTGAAAACGCGTTTCCACCTTGCAGGGGCCAAGGAACGGAGGGAAAAAGAAAAATAAAAATGTTGGCAGCACCGTAGGTGGAGGATCCGCTAGGCCGGTGAGGGTGAGGGCGAGGGTTGAAAGGACGCCGAGGGCTGGTAAGGTGACCGGCGCGTAAAGAACAGGGTGCGTTGTCCCGGTGCGTCAAAGTGCGTACGCCCTTGCGCGTGCCTGACCTCCCCCTTCCACGATTTCCTCACCCGCACCCCTGCCCTCCGAACCCACCTACCTCCCTAGGAAAATCGGGATCTCTTGTTTTACGCCTCGGGATGCATACAGTCAACGTGTACGTTTCCCGCATTTTCTTGTCGCCAACTCCTCGTGATCCGTCTCCCCCATTCCCGTCAACTTCTCTCGAAAGTACGAAGGAAAAAATAATTTATATCGCGTTGATTAGATACACTTAATCTAGACGTATAAACATAGCTAGATAACTTAACCTATGTTTTCCTTAAATATGATTTCATGCTTTCGGTATTTCAAGGTTAAAAAAGAAAAACGTATAAAGGAGCTTTAGGGTGAAAATTCGTTGGGAGACTGTAAAGACCCTCGAAAACGAGAAAGAGAGAGCGAAAGTCCTTACAGTAGAGCCATCTGCATACCGACCGAGCAGACTCTTTTCTTCCACGTGGGACGTGCTACGGTGAATTTCAGGGTACATTGCCGACTACCACTTGATCTCGCGTTACCAACCGTGGAAAGAAAATAGATAAAATGCCTCAACTACTTGTGACTCACCATTGATAAATTCGGCCAACCAGTTGGATGAATTTACTCCCCACCAGGACAAAACTTCTCGGAATCACGTCGTCGGAATATAAAATAAAAGGCAAATAACTTAATGTCAAGATAGTCATGAGCCTCGACCTCTCCTCAATCGATACAGCAGACCGTTATAAATTCAGTGCTGACTGAACCTGTATACCTAGGCAAGTCATCCGGATTCTCCATCCGGATGTTTCTTAAGTCTCCTTGCAGGAATAAAAAAAGAAAGAATCGGGAGTGTCGAAGCAACCATCAGCTTCGACCATTCTTTGATCGAGACTGATCATAGATCTCTAGACTTCCGCCCATCGCTGCTCTCTCTCTCTCCTTCTCTCTTGACCGCGTAAATTTGAATGATCCTATCAATAATTCATCGTGACCTGACACGAGCAGCCATGAGGAAACCAGAAGATGTCATTGTACAATCGATTTCCGCTTCCATCTAGAGCTACCAGTCGTTTCTGGACATATTGCTGCTGACAATTGCTCGTATAGCCGGCAGGCAGGGAGCACAGTCCATTGCACGTCGTCGTGCTAAACAATGAGTAATTAAAGCGTTACTTCAGATGCCTCCGTGATTAAAAATGTATAGACAAATAATTATACTTACGAGCACGTCTCGCTTCGAACAGTCTGCGTATACCTCTCGTCCTGCTCCTGGAGGTTCACGACGTACATCCAGTTGCCTTTATTGTTCAAAGCAGCCTTTGGTGTGATGTATTGGGGATTGACAGGACAGAGAGGGATGGGCTGGTTGAAAGCCTGTCTTTTTTCGCGTTGCTTCCCCAAACTCGCAAACTCTAACAATGGATTGGTCCGACGAGTTCCTCGAACATATCTGAAATGAAAAAAAAAAAAAAGAAACGATTGGAATATACACATGACACTATTGCTTTAACGAGGATATGTCCGTAGAATTTCATCGTCATCGTTAATACCTGTTTGAAAACCAGCCTTGCTCCTGCTTCAAAGGATCTAAGGATTGCTGCGATCGCTGATAAAATACAGGGTCGGGTTTACTGGATTGTCGCAATTGCTGCAACTGCGAGTTCGATTGTGTAGATGATGGTTCAGTGAAGAATGGATTTCTTTGAGAGCGCAATGCCGTAGTCGGATACGTAGATCTAAAAAAAAAAAATAGTACACATTATTCACGTGCCTATGAGTATCGAATTGGTACATTATTTTAAAGTTATTCAGAAAATTCATTGAACACACTAAACCCACCCTTGATCTCGCGATCCATTATTCGGAGGCCCGTAGATCACCGCAGGATGTCCCAAAGGATACTGCGGTGGTAAAAACGGAATCGACGAAGAAATCACCTGAGGATCATCCGCCTTCCGATAATGATAGCCTCCCGAGTAGTCCGGCTTCGATCTAGCCAGAGGACATATTAAAAAAAAAAAATCAAGACCACGTCACACTAAATCCCGAGGTACTGAAATCACAAACGTACCTATAGGAGTTGAAGTCTTCTCGCGATTCTCCCAATAAAATCGTCCGGAAATCGAAGCTGCATCGATCAAGGAGGAACCTGATGAGTTGTCTGGAAAAAAAAACCAAACCCAATCGATCGCTTAGACAGCAAACGTCATTAACCAAGGGTACGATCGCCAGTATTCATTTTTTTTTTTTTTTTTCCCCAGCACGCAAGATCGCAAAATCGCGCACGTCCAGGTAAATCCGGTGAAACGGCCCCGATTTCGCGACACGATTTCCGACGAGTCCTGAAAAAAAAAATCCCGCACACCGAACTCCGTCCGCGAGACGCATAACTAAATTTCGTCAGTGGGTGCGGCCAAAGAAAGAGAAAGAAGGATGTAAATTTCGCCTGCGTGACCGAAAGTTCTAAAACTCCTTTGGGCGATCAAAATCCGCCAACGCGATCGGGACTTCCCCTCGTTAACAAACATCGCGACCGCGATTCCGCCTTTCTCGAGAACCTGACGGAATAAGTCAACGAGAGCCCATCGATCGCAAATCCGGACGCGTTCCCGAGTGCGACGCGATTCCGCATTAACGAGCCCCATGTCGAGTCGGATTGGATCGAGTCATCGATCTCCCAGGAATGGTGTTCCTGGGTGACTTGTCCCCGAGGAATGTCTCGATCTATCCCAAGGAGGCAATTAAGTCGGATGGTATAACCCATCATCCGTGGGTCATCCGCTGTTCTTCATACTTTCACCGTGTCGAGAGACCAGAGGTGTCCGCCATGTTTAATTCATGACATGCACCTGAAACGCTTCCTCGTAGTTCCTCGGAATCGAGCCTCTCTCCTTCTCTCTCGTCCGGGGCCTTCGTAGACGTGTGAAAAAGGGAAAGACTTATTTTACGATCCGTCTTGTCCGTCGATCGCTTTCCTTTCGGCCCCCCTTCCGGGTATCATCCTAATCCTCTTTATCGTTCGTCCTCCTGTCCCAAATTTCACATTGGAAATTCTCCAGTAAGTATGTGCCGTTACGATGCTCGGTACTCGATGCAGTAATCACCGACGCCTCTGTAGGTTGGATCCTTAAAGATCTCCCCACGAATGATCCGCTTGAATAATGCAAGTGCAGGAATAAAGCTTTCTCCCTTTCGTTCTCTTCCCCGGCGTTACTCAACAACTTTCACGTTTTCCACACCCCGGCTGCTTATCAAATTTTCCCACGATAGACCAATGCCTCGTTGCCGAGATTTCGCCTTTCCTTGGGATCTCCGAGATCCCTCGATCGGCCGATCGACGATTTCTGGCCCGTGGATACCTGGATGCAGAGAAGAAACGCGATCCGACCAAGGCCACGGTCACGGCGGAATGATCATCGTCACCTGGGAATCTCTCGCTTAACGCCGCGGCAAGTCCTTACATAATACGGTCGACCAGTTTTCGAGCCTTCGGTTTGCACTTGTGCAACTCGACTCCGTTATTATAAGGCCAAGTGAGCATCGTCTCTCGGGGCCACTTTTTGCCCCATCATCGTCCTAGACAACATCCTTTGTCGTGATAATTCGTCGCGCCTCTTTCTGTGTCAGTGTTCACGGAAACACGCGTCAGGTGCATTTATCGATACCACCGGTGCAAGAGGTTGTCGTAAGGTGTAATGCACCTTGTAAAAGGAGTTACTTGATACTCGAACAAGAAGGAATTTTTCTGTACATTAAAACCAGGATTTTTTTTAATTTTACGTTAGTAGGTGATAGCGTCTATCGCAAGGTTTTCCATGACCCCGTACGGGGTCAAACTGCACTCGCGTCATTAAAACGGTGTCATTGCACCGAACGATTATCGCTATTAGCTTTATGCCTCTTGGTGCATTTCGCGATATAACGTGATGTGAAATTTCCTACGTCATTGATATTTATAAGAGACCTAATAAGCTTAAAAAACAAAAAAGAAAATCGTACGCTGGGCTACGAATAATCTTGACGTTAAGGTTTAATGATTGATAATTGTCGTTGCGATTCTGGTCTCGCCTTCAAGGTATTACCCGCGTTACGTTCTGTTAAATTATGTAAACGAATAAGCGTCGCTCGTCAGACCCAGTCTGCATCGGATTTTCTTTTTCCCCTTATTAATCCACAGGCGTACTCGCGATAAACCGGCATTGAATCTGCTAGACGAGAAGCGTTTAACGCATTCTAATTGGATGATATTATACAATAACCGGTTAACCAACGGAGATTTGAAAATTAAGCGACCACCTCTAAGACAAGTGAAAGCGATTCGTATGTCAGTTCGCCGATAGTACCTTTCGGCTGAAAAAGCAAGTGCTACGAGCGAACGCATTAGCCGCGGCATTACGCGAAAATTTAACGCACTTCCCGACAACCGACCCTCGAACCTGTGCGTAAAATATTGCTCGTAAAATCCCCTGAATAATAATCTCTTATTTCTTTCCGAGCACGGAGAGATACCAAGCATCGCGCAAGACCATTACACGCACGAGAGTGCGTAGTAATTCCGACGTAACCGAAGTAGCCAAGGATCTCGCGTCTCTCTCTCTCCACCCTCGTTGAATTTTTACACAATGGTCGGAAGATGCGAAGAAACGATCGTCACGCTGCAATATCGACCACGTTCGTGCATACGTGCAGACGTGTATAAACTGCATAAAATGCACGTACCCGTGTACCCCGAACGCTATCGCAGGTGCATCGGACCCGCGTGTAGGTAAATTAAGTGCGTGTACGTGCAGGTGCGCAACGAGCCGCATAAGAGCGGCTCTTCGGCTTTTTTCCGCCGAGAATTTCGCCCACGACCGCGCCTAATCTCGCATCTAGCCAGTTTTCTAGTCAATTACTCCTCGCATTGTCCGCAACCAGACTCCCGTCGATCCTATCTTCGTCCAAGAGACGACTGAGAAGAAAACCTCGGATCCATTTATATGACTTTACGGAACAAATACAGGGTAACTTACTGAGGATAATGCTCCAGTGATTCGCAGAAAGTCTGTCCCGGTTTTGCGCACCTTGGGGTATGACCCGGTGGTGCTGGCACGAATGGTTCCTGATACCCCGTGAAACAACCATAAGTGGTGCAGGGCTCACTCTGGACACCTGCGACAAACACCTGTAAAAAAAATAGCCATGAGTCCTAGAAATTTGAAAAGGCGCTCGAACGCGTTAGCGACATTATTGTGCTGCCCAAATAAAAACTCGAATGGCCAAAGGAAAGTCGAATTTGATTCGAACGTCCGTCCTTGAATAGGTCCTTAAAATAACTCGCGTTCTGAACTTTCGTCTAGAGATTTCTCCTCCACTTAAATTTAATTTTAAGTTCTATGCGCGCTGGTTAGAACGAAATTTGTTATCTGCCTCTATACATACAAAACCTGTTATTCCTCGATTTATTCCTGCGTGTAGGTCTATATTAAACGATGATCCTTAGAAGGCTTTCACCATTTATCCAGTCCTCGACACCAAGGGGATTTGATTTCATCTTAATGATAGCGATTCATAAAAAACTATCGAATTTCATTCTAACTTCGATCGTTTCAATGAATTTTTATTACGATCCGCGTTACATGCCCTCGGCTATGATTGATGAGTTCCTGTCCACTTATATTCAAATTGTCTTTTTTAATATCAATCATGTACAAGCTCATTACAGTGAAATCTGCTTAGAGGACGTCTGGTTGGATATCGAGTGAGTCCTTTCAATAGCATCTCGGGTCCTTCTTCAGTTTGAATTTTTTCCTCGATTAAAATCCAATTCCTATTTGATCAATGACTCAATCCATGTCGGGAATTACAGATCTCGAACGTCATTAAATCTCTGATTACTATGATTATGCGTCGCTCGAATCGACTGTTGGTATAGATTGATCACTTTGGCAACTTTCATATAAACTCATTGAACTAAAGTGACTCCAATTACTGCCGATCCTCGCATTTCTTTCAATCGAAGAATATCAATCGTGAATTTTTGTCGAAAATCTCGCCTCTATCCCGTATTGCGTCGCGATTTTATTCCCAAGAAATCAACGTTCTCGAATAGAGGAATTAGGTCTCGAGTAAATATTTATACTCGGGCAATTCACGAAGTCTCCTCTCTATCCACGTAGAGAAATCATTTCTCCTCTTCCAACAAGAGGACCGCGTGACCGTGAAATTCGTTCCCATTAGCTCTGCCGTCCGTCTATTTACATCCGTACTTTCACGAGCCTCCGAAAAGGTCGTAGAAAAGACCCACCGAGGTCCGAATGACTTCATTTTCGAAACCACGACCATCGGGAAAACCACAACACGCACCGAGTTATGAGTCATACTCAAATTACCCTCGCTTCGACCGCTCCACAATAATTATCTGTATCACGAATACAGGGTGTCAGATGATGATGAAATGATTTCATGCTTTAGCCACTTGAAAAAAGTGAGCTTACAGGACCGCCATCTTTATTGGGTAATTTCTTAAACATTTTACTTGAATATTACGTAAAATACTTCCCTTGAGAATTTCACGTAAAAAAAACTTGGAATTACGCGTCACTACCCAACCCTGGCTAGCACGCGTATAATGGCGCTGTTAGGTGTGTAGAAAACTACGGGAAATGGAGTATACAAAGGACTCACCAGAAGTAAGACTCCCCAGCGTCGCGTCATGTCGGTGCCTTATCCTGGGGCCGAGCGGCCGTCTCCGGAGACCGGGGTCTCCCGGTCCTCCACTCGCCGCTTTCCCCTCTCGGTGGCGCGCCAGTCCCGGGTGGAGGAACCGAGTACTGGTCTCAACTGGGCTTGGCAGGTCCTAACAGGATCTTCAGACTCGGGGAGCGCGCGATTCGGCGTTTATGGCGTTTCTCATGGCGGCCCTCTACCTTCGAGCGAAAAGTGAGGTTAGCGCGGGCGAAGGGCGCGTGCGTGCGCCTCCGATCTCCGACTCGGTTTGCCCGGGACGAATCGGCGAGGACACGCGAGTCCCGCGACCCGATCCAAGGTGGGGCTGAGGACACGGGTGTACAGCGAACGCGGACCGTCGAGTGTCGAGTCTCGAATGTACGTAGAGACACTTTCACTGGCCGCCTCGTGCGTGTCCCCCGCTGATCCGGAGGGGTTCGACGACTCCGGGACCCGATCGGCGTCGCCCTCGGCCACGTCGGTCTCGAAACCCGGCCCACTCTCCCTATTCTTTCTCCGCAAGGAAATTCACAAGAAAATTCAAAAGGAAATGGCGCGATACCGCGACGAAATTCCAGGTGGAGCCTCCCTCGCGAAGGTGCAGGTTCACCGTTGCACATGTTGCCGAATCTCGGGTGCTAATCAAGATTCGAACGCGAACTCGGATATCGATGCCGAATCGGCGGACATCGCACGGGGTAGAGCGGCTGCGAGCCCCGGAAGATCGTCAAGATACGGAAACAATGCGGTGCCGTTCGCGGCCCGCGGCCGTTCCGCTCATCGGCGATCGCACCGCTGACGGGGCTCGATGCTCGGAGAGCGTGCAAGGACGTCGCATGTACCGTTCTCGTTTGCAGATCGGCGAGTGCACTGGGACAGATCGATTGTACCTGTTAGAATGCAAACGCTGCCCGTGAAAATGGCTTCCGATCGGGACTCCTGATTGGGATCTTTTGTAGATATCTGAGAAATAGAGAGATAATCACGTCGGAGTTTTGAGGGATCGTCGTATCGTTCTAGTTAAGCGATTATGATCTACTTACGATGTAAGGTGCTCGAGGAATAGCTCAGGTGCGCCATCTTTCGACCGAGTGACTAAGCGATTTGTGGCGGCGCTAGTTCCTCAATCGTGACTCAGTTTTCCTGGTATTTCAAAGCGTTCTAAATTACGTGAACTACCGTGTCGACTGTGGTTTCATTGCCGACATTTCGGTTGGTCGTTCCACTCGGCAGAAAATAGTTTTAAGTTTCCTCGCGAAGCGACGCGTGGAGCGCGTCCGCGATCGTCCCTCTAGTACGGCTCCTGCTCCGCGGCGCTGCGCACGCAGCAAAAGTATGGCGACGTGGGAGAGCGGAAGGTTTCGGGAGGATGCAACCGTCGACGAAATTGAAGGGAACTTTGACGATATCCTCGTGACACACGACCTGCAAGATTGCCTTGACGACAGTCTTGATCTCTCCAATTTTGGCAAGGTTTACGAGCAGTCAGTGGCCTTAGATTACGCCAAGTCCGACGACGACTCTTCCTACATCGAGAGGTTGCGCGATGACAGCACTGGGTGAGATTTCCAGGATTTCGCTCGGTTTTCCCGCATTTCCCTGTTAATTAGAACTCATACAGTGTTTTAATGACCGCTGCCATTTGCCGAGACCCTGTCAATAACGGGACGATTCTTATCCGGTTAAGTTACCATGTTTTCAATCCTTCCCTTTTATGGGCATTGCGATTTTTTCAAGTTAAGACGCGAGTTTACATAACCTCCTTCAGCGCGCTAACTACTACGTTTGTTTAGAATATTTTCTTGCTTTTTAATGGATGTGTAAATGGTTACTGCTAGCGGTGTTCTGTTTAAATGAGACGTTCACCAGTTACTGTGATTATTTGTGTATTTATTTGATATGATTATTAAAATTATAAACTTTGGCAGTATAGTCTCCATAATGATAAACTGCGTCTAAGAAATTTTGTTTTCTAATTCATAATTGCTTATGCATATAGGTAAGCTTGTAAACTATTAGGAGTACTTGTTATTAATAATCTGATTTTATATTAGCAATTGTTTTTGTTTGTCTGGCATTAATGACAAAGGGAAATATTACGACGTTTAGTTCCGTTTTATGTAGAAATGAATTCAATGTTTGCACAATGCATCAATATGAACAAAACAGGTGGAACAGCAGAGTACTATAAATTTAGTTTTCTGAGGGTCTACAAGTAACAATATATCTCATGTTCTGGTATTACTCATACCTACCGTTAAGAATTTATTTTTAGTTCTTAAATAGCCTACGCTCATTCGCTTACCGATCCGCGTAATTTTAGGTGTATTTATAGACACTGTATGTAGTTTATAATTAATTCACTCGCTGGTCCGTGTTCAGTTTTACTTTCATTATTACATTAATGTATATCTATTTTGGTAGAATTGAAATGGAAAGAAGCCGCGAATGATCAAATGGAATCTGATTCAGATAATAAGTGTGCGTACTTTAAATTTAGCAGAATGTGAAATTGGATGAGGTTGAAAGTTACATACATTGGAAATGATTGTCGGTGAAGAAAGCGTTGTTTTATGTTTACATTTTCAAGCAGCAAGATACAATGGCCTTGTATACATAATACTTATCATTACCATTTACCATATTAGAATTACTATACTTGGATTCCTGATTTGCGATTCCCAAGTGCTTCTCCACGAGCTACCTTCATTTCGTAATCGTATCATTTACTATTTGACTTTATTTATGCTTTCCAGATATATACATCACACTATCAGTCCCGATGAGATTTACATGCGAATCCGTCCAGGGCAAGGAGATTCGATGCCTGAAGACCCTTCCCATGCCACCATAACAATAGAGAGTACCGACCCAGATACAAATCAAAAACATATTAGCCGATATACTTGCGAGTATGATGGATGTTCACGTACCTACAGCACAGTTGGAAACTTAAGAACTCACATGAAAACTCATAAAGGTAGATACATTTTGACGATAGTCTTGTTCTCTCTGTTGTTTGATGCAGCTACACGTTGAATATCCCTGCTTGTTTATTTTGCATTTTAGATTAGATATTTTTGTACTTTGTAATAATTATTTTTTTTAGCCATTGAAAAGAGAAATTTGTGCTTACTTTTTTTTTACAAACGCATGTATCAGCATTAGAATTGTTATGTGCTTCCTGTATGCATTTGTTTTTTTTATGGGGCTATCAGAATATTGATTTATGAAAATAATTGAATCCTGTGATTTACGAACGCGTTGATGAGGTCGAATAAGAATTTGAAAAATTCATTTGCTTATATTTTCATGACCATAGTATTGTTGGGCTTTCGCGTAATTTTCATTATTATAGTAGAAATGAATGTGACTAAAATAATGGAAATTGTCTACGCGTATATGTCGAATCACTGCTACATGTATTAACCAAACTTTGCGTGTCCATGCTTGCCAAGGATGAAATTAACATTTAGGGTAAGTACGGAGAAGGCGCGTTTAAAGCTGCAGCATCACCCAGGGCTTTGTCGTCTGGAATGCGAAAGAGCGCACATCGGAGAGTCTAGCTGTCGTCTTTGTTCCTCGCACTGCTACGGTGCACTTCGTGAGGTGTCTTTGCAATGCTGAATTGGAGACGAATCGTCTTGGTGGAAGAGCGTGAAAGATGTAGTGAAAGTGAGAGTGAGAGCAAGGAATCGCTTCGAAGTGCATGGCTTTCGGGTAGTGTCGAGTCGAGCAACCGGCCAAGAGTACCTTTTCATGCGGAAGGAATTCTCTCCCAACTTTCAGGCGAGTATCGGTTTAAGTGCGCGGAACCGAGTTGCGGCAAGGCCTTTCTAACGTCCTACAGCCTAAAGATCCACATTAGGGTACACACAAAAGTTAAGCCCTTCGAATGCAACCACGGCGGCTGTGAGAAGGCATTCAATACCCTTTACAGACTGAGAGCTCACCAAAGACTTCACAGCGGCGACACCTTCAACTGCGAAGAGACCGGATGCGTCAAGTACTTCACTACACTAAGCGATCTCAAGAAACACGTCCGTACTCATACTCAGGAGCGACCCTACAAGTACGTTGGCCGAGAGTACCTAAACGGAGAAGCGGTTGCATGATACACTCCTATCGGTCGGTCGGTCGATCGGTCGGTCCGATCGAGTAGAGTTACTCGAAGAGTTCGATGCCTTTGGAAACGCGAATTCACTTTCCTCATCTTTATCGAATCTACGCAGTTTAATTAGGAACACAGCTGTCAATTTTTGTAGCTACGGTCAGCTCTTACAGCTAAGTACCACGTTGCTTTTATCTCTTCAAGGTGCCGAGAAAAGGGCTGCGGTAAAGCATTTACCGCCTCGCATCATTTAAAGACCCACAAGAGGACCCATACCGGAGAACGACCGTACATGTGTACTTACGGCAATTGCAAGAGGTCTTTTACGACTCCTCATAGTCTGAAAAGTCATCTTAAAACTCACAAGAAGGTTAACAACGGCGAGCAGGCGGTAAGAACTAGTAAATCCACTAAAAGTTGAACTGATTTGCGGTGTAGAAATAGGAGAAGATGCAAGAATTTATCTTACACATTATTATTATTTTTTAAATTTACGTTATATTATGCTGATCGCGTAGGAGATGAAATAAATAACATGCAAGTCTGATTTTCAGCAGAAAGAAAAGGAGAAGTCATGCGGCGGGTCGGAGAACGAAGGGAATGGTGGCACATCGGAAGCGCAAATCGAAATTAAGGAGATTAACATTAATAATAGCACTCTACCGTCCTATGCAATCATACCGATAACTACAAACAACGGACAAAACGGCGAGAATGTAACATACGTAGCAACCCAAAGCGTTAATGAAAATAACACTACCGCCGTGATAGATATTCTAGGCAGCGACGCTATCGCCTTTGACAGTGGGCATGGCTACGAAGTTACCTTTAATAGTGCCAAGGACATTAACAACATCAAGTTGCCCATACATCAGTTCGTGTCGGACAAGTCGAATCGCATCACCCTAGTTTCGTCGGACATCATGATAAATAGTTTCAATCAAACCTCCGAGAATTTCAACGGTAATCAAAAATATGAGAAATTAAAGTTATTCAATGTTATCACCAACCGTACCTCCGAAGGCAACGATGTACCGGCGAGCCAAGAGGTTCCTGCAGCATCACATAGCGGCGACACCGGTAAAGAAATTCAGCCATCTCCCTTGAATCTGCAACAGAAGATAATGCGGAACGGTCTACAGAATACAATAGCTCAGATATCGGAAGCGAAGGACTTTCCGAGCAATGCGAAAGAGGATAAAAAAGCTTCGGTCAATCCTGCGAAAGAATTGACGAGTACGGTAAATGCCGAGAACGCCACGTTTTTTGACAATGGCAATTTGGTAACAGTCAGCGACGATGTTCGGATATTTGATGCTGGTTTAGAAGTCTTGCCATACGTAGCTGACGCTAGTTCACAAAATGGTAATTGCATAGCCGGTATTAATCCTTCCCTAGAATGCAACGCTCTCACTAGCGGACAGTCCGAAGCTGTTGAGTTGGCTATGGCCTCCGAAGAGGAATTACCGTCGCCTTGGATAGATGTTATGGCTTTAGCAACAGCCCCAGCATTGCGGACTCAATCCTGGTCGGAGTTAAATGCATTTCCAACTGCTGTTCATTCATTGGTGGACCTCGTAGGACCAGAGCCCTACCCATTAGAATTGAACAGCCCGACACAAGATGGCCAGATCCTGGAGAACGTTAACGGTTTGGACACCAGCGATATCGTTAACGTCCAGGTGGTCGAAGACCGACTGGAAAACATCGTTGAGTCTCGCTTGGAGAACATGGAGAACACGAACGAACGACCGGAGAACTTGGCGAACCCTAGCAACAGAGAACTATCTACGAAGAAGGACAGGAACGTCCTTCAGGAAATCACCGCCGATGCGGATATTTGTAAATGCTTGGATTGCCGGTGCAATCATCAGCAGAACTGCCAAAATTGTTCGTCTCAAGACGAAAACCTGGGATTTCAGGACGTGCAGGAGAAAATGACCAGGTCCCAGGAGACGGTCACTTGTTCCAAGAGACACGTCCAAGAAAAAGCCGAAGGTGGCAATCTGAGCTCTTGTTTCCAAAGCGATTGCCTCTGCGGGGACAACTCGGGCGGTTGTAGTTGTTGCTGCGTTGTCATTTGCTTGAAGACCCTGGAACAATTACAGAGCGTGTTCCAGCGCAACTGTTGCAAGGAAATCGAGGCTGTTTGTAAAGGAAAGACATCCTGCGATCGGAGCGTTCCGGTCGCTTTGATCAGGAGCCAGCTGGCCAAAAATCAATGAACCACTGGCGCTCTGAATCAACTAGTCATACGCAATGGGAACGTCGTTGTTGTGTAATGTTACTTTAAGAAAACTTGCAGCTGGTCCCGCGTGTCGGGTCGCCTGACTAATCGAAACGCCGGCCTTAACAACGCTCTGTCCGACATTAATCGATTGTTAACACGCGGGAAGGCAATGTTAACTGTAGAAGCAAAGCTATATGATGTTTCGGCAAAATATTTTCGTTCCCTTTATAAGATAGCGTGCAATTATTTTGTTGAACCGTTGAAAGAAATATCGGACACAGTGTTGCTTGGTGGATAAGAAACAGAAGTATGAAGTGATTATGGAACTAGCGTTTATAGAGCAATTGTATTCAATCGTGCAATATTTTGCCAACCTTTATTAGCCTAAGCCAGTAATATGTCGAGTCCTATTTTAATGAGGTGGTCTAATAGTTCTCTGTCATTATCCGGAAATTACGAGGATTTATTTTCGAGATCATCACCGGGCTAAAATTAGAAGTTCCTGGCACAGCCTGTACGTGAAACAGAATTGTGCCTTATATTTGAATATTACCATCTTTTCGACGTCTAGAGGTATGTGGGAATCGAATTGTTTGACTGCTCGAAATTCAATGCTTTGTTCAAAAATATATTTCATGGAGTTATACAACCCGAGATATGTATTTTTCTATATGATCCATGTTACATCGATTCAGTGCAATAATTGTGTGTAAGTCTGGAGAAATGTTTGAAATTGAAGCAATTGTAGAATCCTGCACGCCGCTGACGATATCTTTTGTACACGGGAAAAACTACGCTGAAACAGTAATTTTAGAAAAGCTACAAGAAAAAAGTTTATAAAATTTAGTATATAGATATCGAGACTTGATTGACTGCAGGTAGGCGGTCCAAAACCGATGCTTTGCATTTTCAATAAATCAATATCACCGTGTACAAAAATCGACTAGAAATTAGAACAGTGCAATTTCTTAGAGCAATCCTAAGTGCCTCTTAAATTATACCAAATGTTTTAAACTAAATATTACAAAGTAAAGCAACCATGTATTTATTAGTTAATTTTTGTTACGTTTCTATGTTTAATGTGCGAGAAGAACAAATCAAGAAGTGCCAAAATATTTTTTAATCTTTAAGAACTAGAGAAAATATAATATGTTATTTTTCATGTGGACAATGCTTATTATGCTGCTCGTTTTTTACAAGCAACATTTTGAAGTTGAACTGTCAGAGATGTAACGAAATCAGTAACGAGGATAACTTCTTGTAGAAGGCTTAACAATACGAGTGTGAAACTTTGATGCCCGTTTTAAGTACTTTTTGAACATATTGATTTTGAAAATTATACAATTCAGGGTACCATATGGTATACTAAAAGTGCAAATTGTTTTTCAAAGTATATCACTTGACTAATAAAAAATAAATACTGTTTTCAAAAACAATGTATGTTAACTGAAATCTTAAGTATTATACTGTTTATCGATACGAGTTGATACAAGTTTATGAAATACTAAGATCACTTATGTGATCACGTTGAAACCCCCAAATTACAACTATAAGAAAATAACCATAACTAGATAGACTGATAAAAAGACATTTATCATTTTTTTTTCTTTTCTTTTTTAACTATACATAGATGTAACAAGGTATGGATCATTACGTTGTATGCAAATATCGCACACTGTGTGTTTAACGCTATGACTCAAGTGAAATGTTAACTTCCTTTTGTTATGCATGACGAGCATTTTATTGAGTAGCTTGGACAATGGCTTCTGCAACTTCTACAGCAATGGCTGCTTCAGCCTTGTCTCTCTCGGATGATGCCGATGAAAGTTGCTGTTGTGCCTTGCTGAGAGCATCCTTTGCAGCCGAGTTGTCAAGGCTATCGACAGGGTGGGCTTCCTCAGCTAAAATCTAACCAACACAAAAATCCACGGTTATCCATCGTTAAATGTGGTAAACTCACTGGCAAAAATATTTAAATGCAGTAACGTTCTCTAAGTTAAAGGTTGCAATTTAATATACCTGTACACTGGAATCTTCATTAATAGTGACAGTTCCAGAAGAAACAAATATCTTCTTAGATTCACCACTGTACTCATATACCGTGACAACTCCTGGTTTCAACACTGCTAATGTCGGAACATGTTTCGGTAAAATACCAAATGCACCAGAGAACGACGGCACATCTACTTGGCGTACTGCAGCTTGATCATAAAATACCTGAAAACAGATGATACATACTTAATATTACTATCGTTGCAACCACAGGGTTATATAAAATACCACATAAGTTTGACAAATTCATACTTGATTTGCGCCTGCAAAGGTAAATTTCATTTGATCACCAGCGGGTGCATCTGCATAACACCTTGCCTGCTGCCGAAGAGTTCTGAGATAAGGTCGAAGCGTGCGGGTAATCGTCGCCATTTTTTTTATCTAAACAATAATAAATTATGAAAAATTGTTAAATATATCGAACAAACGATCGGGCGTGTTACATCATAAGATCAGTACATGATTTAACCTCACTTGAAAAAAAATAGGCCGCGTTATGTCATAATAAGATTATAAATTATCCACAAATAAGAAACATAACCGGCTTACAGTACAATATTTGCAAATTTTTATATACCTACCTGACTTTGGCGTTTTTCCCTGTCGCAAGATATAAACTCTGATTTTCTAGCAGCCAGAAGTACAGGGTGCGCGTGCGCTGTCTGCTATTTTCCTCAAGTCATGAACTAGCGACAACTCAAGATGGTACAACACCTGGTTCCTGTCGGGTTCTAAATCTATGCTGGCGCCGTCTAAAATAGTAACTTTTCCAAATTAGTCTGCATTCAGTGGTCACGATTGTGCATCTACAATATTTCTTAAATCATTGTTCTACTTCGTTTATAACCTCAATTATTTTTAGGTTATCTCATGCCAAGCGCTAGAATGGTACAGTCAATCGTGCTGTTTTAATTAGTGAATGCAGGACTTGATTCATTAGCGCTCTGCATAAATATTATCGGTAAAATGGATGCATACGACATTTTTAAAAAATTGACCGTTGGGGTAAAATTTGATTTGAAGCGATTTCGACGTGATGCCGAAAGATTTCAAGTAAGTCACCAGCAGGAACTCAAATATGTAATCTTAGTATGAAGTACGATTCCAATGTTTAAAATATTAATATCTCAGAGGTACTCTCAATTTTGACTTTATAGCTTATTAAAAAGCCAGCAGTTAAAGATGTAAATGTAAACATGGGAAACACAGATCTTGATGATCAGAATCTATCGATCAAGAGGAAACGCGACGATGACGAAGAAAAAAAGGAGGATGAGCACAAAGAAAATACTCAAACTTTAACACTTGTCAATGGTATATCAGTGCCAACAGATGGAAGCAAAATTAAGCGAAAGAAGCAAAAGACCTTGACAGAAGATAAGAACCTAAAACTGGAACAAGAAAAGGTACAAACATCGAATCATTATTTAGAATCCATTTTGAAAGAACTTCATAGTTATCTAATGAATAACCATGTCGAAGTTTAATGAAACTTTATCATAAAATTTATTTTTTACAGATTAATCACTTACGAAATCAACATCACATATCAGCCATAGGCTCACACATTCCGCCGCCTATACAATCTTTTGACGAATTAAAAGATTATCAAGTTGCAGATGATTTATTAGACAATATGAAAAACCATGGATATACACAACCTACACCTATTCAGATGCAAGCTATGCCTATAATGTTACAGGTATGGTATATTTTGTCATAAGTGAATTTACATCAATAGAAGATACGTCGTTTTTCAGGGCAGGCAAATTCTTGGTTGCGCACCGACAGGTTCTGGAAAGACTGCTGCATTTTTGTTACCAATCATACACCAATTGGCCGGCCCACAAAAAAAAGGATTTCGAGCAATCATTGTCAACCCTACTAGAGAACTGGCAAAGCAAACTTATAGAGAATGTATGAGGCTCAGCGAAGGTCGTGATTTTAGAGTACATATAATTAGTAAAATAAATCAAGCTTTGGCAAAGTATGGACCAAATAGTTCTAAAAAATATGGTGTGTATAATTGCTATATCTTAAATATGTACTATTCAATCTCAGATATGTTTAATGTAAATCTAATTAATTGTTTTTAGACATTTTAATAACAACACCAAACAGGCTTGTATTTTTGTTAAATCAAGACCCACCTGCAATATCTCTATCCAGGTAAGTTATCAAACAGTCGTGCAAGCATAAAAATTTGTATTTACAATATTTTATATTAAAATGATTTACAGCGTTGAGTGGTTAATCGTTGACGAAGCTGACAAGTTGTTTGAAGAGGGAACTCGCGGATTTCGAGACCAATTAGATGAAATCTCAAGAGCCTGTACAAACAGTAATTTACGTCGAGCAATGTTCAGTGCCACCAATACTCCGGCGGTGACCAAATGGTGCCGTCATAATCTCAAAGGTCTTATAACGGTGACAATTGGACAAAGGTAAAGAACTTCTAAAATTCTCAGCCATAAAAATTTGAAGCAGCGTTAATAATATATTATTATCTGTTACTTTTATCACAGAAATGCTGCAGCGGAACTTGTGGAACAAGAACTACTTTTTGTTGGAAACGAAGGAGGAAAATTAATCGCATTTAGGAACATTATCCAAAAGGTAAAGGATCAGTAAGTTTTTACTATAATGCTAAATCTATTCAAATCAATATATTTGTTACATATCTCTACGATTTGTTGCTTTACAGGGAATGACCCCTCCAGTGCTTGTCTTCGTACAAAGCAAAGAAAGAGCTCAAGAACTTTTCAACGAGCTCATATATGATGGAATAAATGTGGACGTCATTCATGCTGACAGGACTCAAACACAAGTATGTATTCATAACTCCAAAATAATCTTTTCAATGCCCATCACCACTGTATTCAATTAACCATAGAAACTTATGTCAATTGAATTTCAGAGAGATAATGTCGTTCGCTGCTTCCGAGAGGGAAAAATCTGGGTCTTAATATGTACCGAACTTATGAGCAGAGGCATTGACTTCAAAGGCGTTAACCTCGTTATTAATTACGACTTTCCAACGTCTGCTATTTCCTACGTACATCGAATTGGTAAACATAATATTGAAACTCTTTAACACTGCATTATTATGTTTTCAAGTATCTAAATAAAAAATTGTTGTGATAGGTCGTACGGGCCGAGCTGGCCACAGAGGAAAAGCAATAACTTTTTTTACTCAATACGACACCGTGAATTTACGTAGGTGAGTATTTTCTACAAAAATAGAAATACCATACAATATTCATTTAAATGACTTCAAATATTCTAACCATTTTTCATTTTTAGCATCGCTGCTGTAATGAAAGCATCTGGATGCGAAGTACCAGAATACATGTTGGCAATGAAAAAACACAGTAAAAAGGTGAAACGAAAACTTGAAAGGGAAGCTCCTAAACGAGAGTCTATATCAACAATCCCAATCTATGAAAAACAACGCAAGGAAAGGAGAATGTAAGTATTGCTAAATTTATAATATTTTTGTTATTCTCAAGCGATTTAATATGAAATATCTTTAAAAAATTAGGAAACGTCTCGAAGGCAACATGAAGAGTAAAGAAACTAAAGATAATTCCACTGCAGCAACTGAATCCTCTGTAGATAATAATAAACATGAAATTATTAGGGTGAGGAAAGGCAATGATAATTCAACTAGTAACGGTAGATTTTTAGTAAAAAGTAAAAAGCATTTTAACAAATTCAAAGGTGACACAGACGTAAAGAAAATATCATCAGGAAGTAACAAAATGCACGGGAACGTTGTAAAGAAAAAGAAAAGGTTAATAAAAGTAAATTCATAAATCGAATCTGACGCGAAAAGTGAAATTATGTCAACCTGACATGCATTTCAAGCATGTAGTTACATTTTATATACTGAACTGTATTTCATTAAGTTTTACCGTAAATGTCTTATAAAAAAACCTCACAATTACTTATAAAAATTGTTATAGACTAGAAGGTAAGGAAACCCTAAATTAAAGAACTGAATTATCGTCATGGATTTGAAATGTTGCTAAGTCAATATTTTAAAAGAAAATGCCTGAAATAAAGTGTCGAAAAGAAATCTTTCTTAAATAGTAGTTTCATTCGAATACGCAAATATCGGTGACTTGCACTCTCGTTATAAATTACAATCAGTCTGTCGTTATATCCAATGCTGTAAGGCACCGACGTAAATACAAAGTTCTTAAATTTTTACTTAAAACTAACGTTGGAGCGACGACAGTGAGCCACAGTTCTTTTACAATACACGCCTTAGAAAATATCTTGCTTCGGAATTGGAAGCACATAAATCAAGAATAACTCCATCGTAACAAGTAGTAATAAACAATCAGTCGAAATGTCTTGTAAAAGTTTTTCGAAGCCCATGGAAAGTTAAGGCAAGGCACATTACACATTTACATTGTATCAGAAATGTCGCGTGAAGAGCGACGTACCTCATTAAAGGAAGTCAAAAAGTCGACAACAATTCCTAGAGCGTACAAAAATATATACAATTCTTGCTAACCTGTTCAGGTATGGTTCACTTATACTGCTACGTTTCGCATAACCAGTCGCACGGTAGCTTCGGCATTTTATTAGCCGGCCACGGAAGGTACCCTGCGGTTTTAAATACCCAATAGTCATACGAGACCTTCGCAATGAGGCTCACGAGTAATATCACTTCGGTTCCTATAATATAGTAGATATAGTCCGTCCAATCTCCGGGGTAGACACACATCTTCGAGGGTTCCAGATCCATCACCTTCTCCTTCGCGTTTTCGCACAGTACTTCATCGTAATCCAGTATACGCGTTTGCAGCCACACCTATTGAACAAGAGATATCTCAAGTATTTCTTGAAAATATTGCCTTCCTCATACCCTGGACCTTAGGGAACATATCGAGGGCGTACCTTTAAAAACTTCGCCGTATTGCAGTCGCAGTGCAGCTTATTACCACCAAGCTTTACTAGGCGCGAACTCACGAAGTTCTTATGAGCATTCGGAGCCAAGATGTACGTCGGGAGCTGTGAATTTGAACGAGTAATTACATTAACATAATTATTTAAAATCACTGCAATGTATCGCGTAACAGGCCTTACCGTTTTTATTTTATTGAAGCGCAGACTGAGCAGAGCATAATTATCCAAAAATTTGGAGCCCTCTAATTTATTGATGGACGATATGTTGTTGTAATCAGCGTAGAATTCTCTGATGTCCTCGTAACAAGGATTAGTGCTCATTTCGTCGAGTATCGTGATCTGCAAATGAAACGTGAATACTTAACAATGTTCTGTCTCTACGTATGTCCTATAAGAAATTAAAAATCCCCAAGTACATTGTTGTAGGAGACATTCAGAGCAATTGTGTTGCGCGGAAGTTTCTCAGGCAACTCCGTAAGTTGGATGCCGCTGCAATCCACATTTACGGCCAACGTTGGCGGCTTCCCTTCGACGATGTCTAATCTTCGGAAGTTGCACTGGCACTGCCAAGCTTCGCTCTTGGGGCACTCGGTTTGCAGCTGACAACAAACAAAAGCAAATATTTTAAACGTTGGATCTAATGGTGCATTGGAGCCAGAAAGAATTTCGGAGCTTCGCAATAAAGCGCATACCAAGCTGAGGTATCGGACTTGCTTGAGAGGTACTTGTTCCGTGGTATTGAACCAATGCCAGGTCTTGCTAGCCGAGCACACGGTCTCGTTCTCCCTGTTGAAGTTGATCTGCTTCTCTCCCGTCTTGTTAATGTACTGGTAAATATCATGGCACCAAAGTGTGTTAGTACCTGAGGAGCGGATCAATTGAATTTCCGGTTAGCTACCGGCAATGGATATTCCTCGGCCTCCAACGGGAGTACATCTCGATCAACGAAAGGGCATCAACAATAAAGGGAACATTGTGTAAGATAAAATCAATATTTTCAGGCCATAAAGCGTCAGGTTCTCACCCGAAATGTCGAGCCAGAACTCCCTGGTATTCATGGTGTTCAAAGCCGGCAAATGCGTGATATTATTAAACGAGAGGTCCAATGTAGTCAGCAAAGAGAGTCTCGTGAAGCTTTTGTTCTCAACCTCGACCAGGGCATTGTTCGAGAGATTCAGACAATGGATCGGCGTCATCATCAGGAACTGGCCCTTCACGCGATTGACTCTACCATCGGTCACAGCCAGAGATTTTAGTCTTCTCCATCGCACCTCGCTCACGTTGACGCTGTCTATGGTGGCGTTCCTTATATGGATGTACGTCACGTTGGCAGGAAAATCTGAAACACGGTGAAAATGTATAAAACTTTTCTCCAAACCGGGTGCACCAAATCATTTGGAACTTCAGCACGTGATTATGGAGGTCCTAAGGAAGAACGCGACGCTCGTGGAATTTAATTTTTCAACAGAAAGAAAATTCTTTTCATTTATCCTCGACTCGAACCAAGATCACATTTTTTTTTTTTCTCGTAAAAAAATGAATTTTCACGAGCCTTAGGGCCTTCATAATCACGTGGTGGAGTTTCAAATGATTCGGTGCACCCAGTTTGGAGAAAAGTTTTATAAATATTTTGAAGGTTTCGTGTGTATAGAATGACCCTTTCATAATACTTTAAGTGACGATTTGCATGCATTATAATTTCGTATATCGAGAGTCGTTTAGTTACTGGCACACGCAAGGCCGGACTCGAAGGTGTTGTTGTCGAGGTTGCAGCAGAAAACCGCGTTCGCCTCGGGACTGTCATCCGATACGACTATCCGCTTGCAAGGGCACTCCTCGGATGTGGGGCATTCGGTGGGTTCCCGATGGAAGCAATGATCGAGGATCGTCGGGGACACCACGTGGCTGCTGGACGTGGACGAGGACTGATCTTCCTCCGTTCGGGCTCGGACCACCCCCGCGTACAGGCACAGCATCACCATCAGCCACTGCATCTGCAACTGCACCACCGCTCTCTTTTTATACTGGCGTAATAATTATACTATCATCTACTACATCACAGGGGAAGGATTCTAATCTGAGCAACATTTAGTTTAGAACTGCGGGTAACGACGTAAGCCGACAAATCCATACGGAGTGTCAGGTGACCCTTTGGCATAAAAGTTGAACGGCACTCGTAAACTCTTCCACAACGACGGGAGTTCGGAATCGCCGTTGCGCAATCCCGAGAGACTCGGTAAACAACGTCGATGGTACTACTGACCGAAACGGAAGATCGGATCTATTAAAAGAATTATGTATTTCGGCCGTAAGCGGCCGTTGTTCCCTCTCGGACGAAAATGGCCTCGGTAGAGGGAACACTCTTATCTAACGAAACGAAGGTCAAGGGTAGCTTTCGAACAGCATCGCGGAGTCGAATCTCACGAATTTCTCTAAAACTTGTTAATGGGTCCCCCCTTATTTACACATAGAACCCTTTGATCTAAACGAGTACCTGTGAACGATACAAATAGACCCGTAAATTGGCCCCAGGAACGAGAATTCGCAATATCGATAAGGCTGGTCGCACTTTCAATCGTGCATGAGAATACCTCGGTTAGAAAATTAATATTTCAAAACGATCAATTAACGGTTTAAAGTGCCCCTTGCTATCACATCCAAGCTAAAACGGTTGAATTCAAATGGTGAAAAATAATCGTGGCGATCGAGTTTAATCTGGCAAAATGTAAACCTCATCTCGAGCAGTATCATCAGTTATTAACAAATCAATTTCAATGATCGTAACCAAGTGAAGGTGATACCTATTATTCGAGTGCCACCGAGCTTACTTAAAATCAAGCAATAAGGTAGAAGGAAGGATTTTTAACCGAATGGCCGATCTGAAAATCGTCAGTTACGGCCGGCAACGCCGTTAGCGATGCACCAGCAGTACTATCTTCGGCAGAGAATTATTTATATTCAACGAGTAGGTCTCGGTGGTCGATTTCGCGGAACGGCAAAATCGGAACCTCTCGGAGTCCCTTGCCACGCGTTCGCCCGCGAGGGTCGTGGGACCCAGGGGAAAGAGCCAATCAGGATGCAGACCCAGAGGCGGTCTCCCGCTCGATAAGGCAGAGTGCAGGCTCGCCGCGCGATAAGCGTTTATCTCGAGAGAAACGCGATGAGGCCTACTGCAGGCACGGTTGGGTTAGAACCTAAGACGCGGTTTTTTGCTCCTTTAGCCCAGGTTTCCTTCCTGACCACGCCGCGAGACGTGCGTCCCGCTGATAACTAATGTAAAAACGTTGTATCCTTGGCGGTGCTTTTTTTTCCCCCCTAACCTCGTCGGACTGATCCGCGACGAAAATGGGAAAAAAAAAACACCCGCAACGTAGAAACGATATTCCCTCACTCGATAGTAGTCGCGCTGGAAAACGCGTCCCGAATAGTGAAAAATGATAGGCGTCGATAGAATTTCTAGGATTTATTGAATTCCCACCGGGCGGCGTTTCGCAAGAGAACGGTCGAGTCTAATTGGACAGTGGCGTGGCCATTAAGTGATAAGGTGACTCGAGCGGTCCGCAATGAAATCGCGAGGCCGCAACGTGGCCTGTAAGCGCGGACTTAACATTTATTCCGGCCGCGATAAGGATTAATTAACGCGAGTTCTCCGAGGGGGAAGATTAATCGGCAATGATTTTCCGCTCCTCGCGGGATTCTCACCGTACGCGCTACGTGAAATAAAAACAAAGGGACCGTCTTCTTTTAATTGCCGTCGCGGTTGGAACTAATCTACGGTCGCGGCACGCCAGCGGAAGGATTTCTAAACGCGAGAAGGCCGAGGTAATGAAATACAGGCGAGTCCGCGGTTTCCTATAATAGCCGGATGAATATGTATTAAATATTGCCTAGGCCGCGGTCGCGTATAGTCTAAGCGCATTTACGAGCCGAGGCGAGCATTCTTCCTACTTGAAGCGTAGACCTATCGAAAATCGCTCCACCGCATCGGAGGACGAACCTCGTCGCGATAGAAAAAAAGGAGGTCCAAGGAAGTCCGAGTTAACGAACGAAATTGGAAGCCCCGTTTATCGTATCTTCTAGGAAAGGGTTTCTTCCGCGAGGTCCCCCGTCGATCGGGACACGTTATCACCGTACTTATTGGAAGTGCGACAGCCCCGTTGGCGGTTAACACAGAGGAGGTTTCTATTCTCGGAATTACATTAATAACTCTCACCGAGACCCGTGCGAGATAGTCGTTCCACAATTGCCGCGCGGCCGTCCTCGTTACCGATTCATTTCTTTTCTTTTCTTTTTTTTCCCCTTTTTTTCTCCCCTCCGCTTCCCAAGAGACCGGCCGCGGTTTTTCCACCGGCGTTCGCCAATCGCACCGAGAGCGTTACTCCTGGCTCGAGGAAGAAACTCGGAAAGTCGGTACGTCCCGTTGGCTCCTGGCCGTTGACCAACTTTACAACCAACCGATTCGTCGAAAGAACGAACGAACATTACGCGGCCAATTGCTGGGTCATCGTAAGTACCGGTCGTATAGGTCGTCCAGAGTTAATCAAACCTTTGACGTTTAAGATTAGACGCTCCGTTTCCAAATAGTTCTTTTTATTCCTTTACGTCCATGTTGTATGCAGTTTTAAAGGCCTGCACTCAAACAACGGGGTAAAAAAATGTAGCCCAGTATAGGTAATCGAATGATCGTTCCTAGGATAAGTCATGCCTAACAATGCATCACGTACAGGTACTTGGGGAAAGCCAGAATGACGTTATCACCGAGGCAACTATTGTGGGAACGATTAGCAGATATGATTTTAAAAAATTTACATCTTCGACTAGACTTCGACCCTAGAACAATAACGAAATAAACCCGAAAATTGTCCGCAATCATCACCAAACCCTAGTTACCGTGCACTCGCACCAACCGTGGTATAAAAAAAAAAAAACCAAGTCCACTTGAAACCTCCATAAAACCTCGCAATAAAATCATCCTTCCTAGGATAAGGCGTGAGTAACCGACGCCTCGTGAATGTTTGCGGAAGGCCAGGGTGTCCTTATCACCGGGGCAACTATTGTCGCAACGATTCCCGCGACTCGGCGGTTCCGTTTGTCGCGGACAAAGGCAAAACTCGGGAGGGACCGTGCCCGCGGCGTCGTCCGATCAAATTCAACCGATCCAAGAATAACTTTAATAGCGGTAAAACTTTCGGCCCGACCGTGACTAACAAAGTGTCAGGATGTATATTTAAGGAACCGCATAAGGAAAAAGGAAGAAAAGGAAATCCCAGACCCGGCGTGGTGTACGTCGCCTGGGCCGCGTTACCGAACGCGTTAATTCCTCCTCTTTTATTTTTCTTTAATTTTTTTTTTTTTTTTTATTAACGAGCCATTTTAACCACGATAGACGATCGCTCGACTATCGGGAGGTTCCTTTTAATGCGTGGGAGATTATTTATGCGCCGCTCAATGTGCGATCGGGTAAGGAAAAACGAGGTGCGCCTCTGGCCGTTTCTCCCCTCCGGGTCGGGTCGTTCGGCATCGAGAATTAAGCGAGACCGAAAGCGAGGCCAACCGGGCCTTAAAGGTCGTCGGGTGGTCAAGAAGGGCAAGAGACCAAAGGTGAGGATCAAAATAGAATGATCATTGTCGGAAGGAGAAACGATCGGAGCCAGGGCTCCGGTAATAGCACTCGATTATTCCGTTAGGATCGAGAGCACTTCGTTCGCGTTCTATGGCCGATAAGACCGGCTCTCGGCGGAATGCGTCGTTTAAGAGTCCAGCGTAATCTCTCGTCAATTACGCGGATTGCAAAGGTTTTAACGAGTCACGTCGTATCGGTCGCCTGGTACATCTTTGCCATTTTCTTCATTTTTAAGTGAAACATCATATGGGATGATAATAGATGAGAATTCCCAAGTCAGTAAGAAGCTCGATTGGGAAAGTGAAGCGGTTCTTTTTTTTTCTTCTTTTTATACATACACTACTGTATACATCCATCCTTCAGAATCAGTATTAAAATTGTGCAAAATTCGCACGAATGCTTCCGTCAGGGTTGGCGCGTCGTCGGCAAATTATATCGACCCTGGAAGTTGAAATAAAACTAATACGTTAATTTCGTGAATGATTAAGAATAATTAACGAGATACAATGACTGTCATTAACTCATCGATAAAATTTCTCGTTCCAAGGCGTGCGGTGGCCCCGCCTCGATTGTTTCCTGATAAAGTCGGGTTTTTGTCGCTCAGCTATACTTCGAGTCTTGTTAAGAGACATCGTTAGGAGACTTCCCAAGGATTTGAGAAGGAAGGAATGCGGCAGTGCAGGGATCGCATCGAGGAGGAGGAGTCGGAGATACGACAATGGAATATATTCATGTGGATGCTTACTCTTGAATCGCGATACGCGCAAAAACGCCCTCGATCTTCCTGTCTCCGTGTTCGAACGCAAAATTGCCGTACGTGACGTGACGGGCAAGATAGACGGGAGTTCATGCTCGATACAGCGCACTTCCTGTTCCAGTGCAACCCGAGAGAGAAAGGCTATTGCGTTTAAGTAGTTACGGCGATCGAATAACGCGAGGAAATATCCTTCCTCGCGAATAACGAGGTAGAGTCTCGTCGCTCCCTCGGGCGCTCAAAATAATACCTAAAATACGGCGGCCATTTTTAAATGCCGCGAACCGCCGAGCGCGCTACGACTTCGTCACTTGCCGGTATTTACACCCGCTCGGACATTCTTCCGTAGGTTCAACCGAGAAAGGCAAATATTCTTTCAATAATAGATCCAATACTCCAAAAATTCTCCGAAACCCTGCTAAATTCCGAAGTCAATATTTTAGGTCAATTTCGAGCCCGCGTGGCATAAACGAGCCCTCCCAGGTCCTATTTCACTTTTGACCTCCTACTTTCGGCCATGTACGTCCTACATAACAGGAATTAAGTCTAGGTCTATAACCAGAAGAACCGAGAATATCAGCCACTGCGGTCCAAAGTGGAATCTTAATTCTCCAGACCCCCTATATATTATTAGAAAGCCTAAAGGCCCGCAATCCGGGTTTTACTTCCTATTAAAATATCGACTCGGTTTCCCTTACCGCCATCTCTTCTTCCCCGTCAGCGAAGCGTGGTCAATTTCCTGGGAGAGATTCCCGCCATCTTTCCGGCTCGGCGTCGGGAATTTTCGGCTGATTTTCTCCCGCACCGCGGGACCTTCGAAATCCGGCGGGCCAATCAGAGGCGAGGACGCGACCGCGGGAAAAACGAAAAAGGCTGCGCGCGCACGCGCACGCGCCCGCCCGGATGCACGCCGGGACCGGAGGAGCGCGGCGACTGCGATTAACGCCGGCCCGCCAATCCAGCCGGCGACTCGCGTAAACGCATTAAATTAATTCGTTTGCGGCACCGCCGGGCCGCGTGGGTCACGCTCGGCGATCCCCTACCCCCCTCCCGCCCCTGCGAATCAAAACCGGCCCGGAGGCGGGACGCGCTCATTCGCGGCGGCCGAATCATAAATCGGTCCTTCGCCGAGCACCATCGCGCGCGGCTGGTATTATAAGCGACGGGCACCTAGCTTCGCTTTTTTTAACGCAGACGATGAGCGAGAGACCGCGCGGCTTCGGCTCGGATGGCGTGACCGGGGACGCCTCCAGCCTCCTCGCTTCTACCAGAACGCGTCCGAGGAGAAGCGTCACGCAACATCCGACCCGTGCGTGGGTCGCCGAGGTACTGGTGCAGCGGCGGTTGCGCCATGGGTGCTACGCGGGTGCCAGTGCTCCAACGATACGACGCGCAGCGAGCGCCGCGCATGGCGGTCGGTAAAGAAAATGGCGGCGGGTACATTGACGGCGGTTGGTAATCTAAAGGACCGTCGGTAGTATAGGACATGCGCGGTAACAGGAGTATCGATACAAATGAGATCGGTTTTCTCTTGGGTGGTAAATGTGGTATATCGCATCGGTGGTATAAAGAATTAGAACGATGGAATATAAAAAATAGTCGTAGACTTCGCATCTCTGTACAGGAGCGACTCGGGCGGGGTCGCGGCGAACTGTGTGACTTGTCTCGCTACCTGGCCGCCCCCACTCTCGTGTTCGAACGCGAGTCGGGAGCTTGTAAATAATATCGTAAGATAAAGCCAGAGGGGCGCGCCTCTCGGTGTTTCCTGCCCCACGACGTGCGCGCGATGCCGCGCCTCGCCCTTCCTCCGATTCCGCGTCCGCCCACGGGTCCGACTCGCGGGAGATAATCTCGAGCGACGGCTGTCCGAGATTCCGGTTGATCCCGGCCCCGGGGCGGAAAACCACCCCACGCGGCGTGCTTCGGCCGGGCGCGATTAGTGCGCGCCGCGAGATGCGCGGTGGCGTCCCCTCGTCGGCGCCGCCAATAATCGCAGCGATTATCTAATCACGGCCAATTCGCGCCGCGGCGGCCGCCACCATCGCGGGACGGGAGCTCGCGTTACCGCGACAGCTACGACCTCTCCGTCTCCTCGTGAGTACGTGCCTCGGGTTGCCTCCGGTCGTCTCGCGCGGTCCCCCTCGGGTTCCCCTCGATCGCCCGCGAGCATTCCTTTGCATCGCTCTGCTCTGCCGGAAGGAGACGGAGCGAGCGTAGCGGGACGCGCGGAAGAGAGAAGGCGTGACGGTGAGTGGATCATGCCGCGCCGCCGCTAAAGTCGGTTACCTGTCATCGCCGTGCGCGGCGCTCGCGTCGCCTCGCGCCTGCGAGTACGAACAGGTTGGCGAGCGCGCGAGCGCGAGTGCGTAACGAGGGCGCGTGCCTTGCGTGTTCTCGGGTAGCGATCGGGCGCGATTGTGCGCGGTGGTGTGCGGTCTCGCGGTCGCGGTAGTCTCCGGTCGGAGGAAGCGAGAGCGATCGTCGTCGTCGTCGTCGCCGCCGCCGACCTCGGCGGGAAGAAGGGAGGGCAGGGTAGGGCGACAAGATGGCGGGCTCCCTAACGTGGTCGTGTACTTGTTGCCTCCGGTTCAAGTTCAGCCCGGAGGAGATCGAGCAGCGGTACAAGAGCCAGGAGATCGACCGCATGCTCGAGAAGGACCGCCAGGCTTTTCGCAGGCAGGTCAAGCTCCTCCTCCTCGGCGCCGGCGAGAGCGGCAAGTCCACCTTCCTCAAGCAGATGCGGATTATACATGGGATTAAGTTCGAGGTAGGCCACCGAGTGCGGCTGCTGCTCCGGATGCTTGGTTTGCCTTTTCAAAGCTTTCGGGACTTCTTGGAAAATGTCCCCTTGTGGACGTACTTCGTCGAAACCGTGCCCTTGGTCGATGGAGTTACGCTCTGCAGAAATAGTTATGCTCTTCGAGCTTAGAGGGATCGCAAGGCTTGTGACCGTTCCTTTTGTACTTTGTAATCGAATGAGCCAGGGAAACTGGGGACAATTATAAAGTGTATCTTAAGATCATTTGATTAATAATTGTAACGATGATGTCATTGTCGAATGGATGTATATACTAATGTATAATAATCATTGTTACGTAGTCGAAAGAAAATGAATTTAAGTCGAGCAACGTAAATGTATTCATGGATCTATAGGTCAAGAATCGATTAATGTTACTCAAACGTAATTTTTTTTTACATGCGTAAGTGCAGTCATGGATCTGTAGATCAAGGACTAATTATAGTCCTCTGACGTATGATTACTGATTTTTATAATGCACTAGTTTATACTCGTAATTATGCTGCTAGTGCTTGTATCCGGATAACCAAGATTCTGTGACAATTCTTGAACTACAATCATTATAATTTATCTATAATATTAATGTCGTTGTTTATCGATAGATAATTATTCAAGTATTACTTTTCAAACATATGTGGAGCTGTGGCTTATGTGGGAAATGGAACTAAAATATTCCATAAACATTCTCTTTTGACTCGAATAGGAGTGAAAAATAATTTTTGTATTGTGTACCTTGACAAGGCATATATTCGTTTATGATTAGTCACGCTAGTTAAATTTATCCAGATTTGTTTAATCTGGTGCTAGAAATAACTGCAAGGCAGTTTAGAGAAAAAAAAATATTTAAACTCTGGTTTGACATTGTACAAGGTAATTTGTTCAAGGAACGAGGTACATCCTGTACATGAGTGCAATAACTATGTTAAGCATGAAAGTTCTCAGTTGAATCCTACCTGAGTCATCGTGCTAACAAGCGGTATCTTGAACACATGCACACATACATATTTACAGAAACATTACGTACTTTCCTAAACAAGCTGCACATAAAAAGTTTTAAACTGGAGAAAGTAATGTCCCACCATCGGAGAGTTTCCTTATACTAAAATTATAGTCCATGAAGGCTAGGAAAACATTTAACTTATGTAAAAATGTCTTAATATGGAAAATACTTGATAGTTTTAAAATGGTGGCAAAGCTTCCTCGTACGTCAGGAAGGAAATTTATACAATGGATGGTCAATGGCCATAGAAGTGTGGGGGCAATTAGATTGCATGCTCGTGGAGAACCTTGGCAGTTTTGAATAAGTGACGGGGAGAAAGGGACTATGTTAATAGCCCTTTAATGTAACGTGACAGATAATAGGTGTCTTAAGCTAGTTATTATTTATTAATTCATGGTATTCCTTATCTGTTTTCAAGCCGGAGTTGATCAAGGAGTACCAGCACGTAATCTACCAGAATATTATCAAGGGAATGAAGGTCTTGGTAGATGCTCGAGACAAGCTGAACATTCCCTGGGAGAATCCTAAGAACTACGACATTGGCTATCAGCTGCTTAAGTTTGAGAACACGATGATTTTGGATGCTAGGCTGTTTCTTCACTACGTACCAGCACTTCAAAGCTTATGGAAGGATGCATCCATTAAAAGGGCCTTCGACAGGCGGAGAGAATTTCAGCTGGTGAAGCTCTTTTAATATTAGTACTTTTGGAGTTAAACCTGTTCACTGCAGCATTATATTCTGATTTCTCTTTTATGACGTACGATCTATTTCTGTACACTGTAATGCGACTTGCATTCACAGCATGATTCGATTAATGTCCGTTTTCATTTGATCGAAGAACAATACTCTCTCCTAATAAAGTCTGGGGGGCATTTCAAACAATGGCTGATCGTTTATAGCAGGACTTGAATGAATCTCTCTTCTCCTTGCAGAGTGACTCGGTGCAGTACTTTCTGGACAGCCTCGATAGGATTGCCAAAGTGGTAAGGAACAAGTTTATTTTATCATCTCTCTTCCTTTTGGTATGATTTTTAAAGTTACATTTGTTTTCAGGATTACATGCCAACGCACCAGGACATCCTGCACTGCAGGAAGGCTACGAAAGGCATCTCAGAGTTTGTTATCCCGATTAATAACATCCCATTCCTCTTCGTCGACGTCGGTGGTCAGAGATCCCAAAGGCAAAAGTGGTATCAGTGCTTCGACTGCGTAACTTCGATACTCTTTCTCGTCTCGTCGTCCGAGTTCGATCAAGTTTTGTTGGAAGACAGGTGAGGTCTTCCATTTCTCGCTGGTGATATTCGTTAAGCGTTATCTCTGAGTCAGAAGCCTCAAGGCTCGACGTAGTTACTTCTTATCGGGTCTATATAGGTTTGCTTAGGTCGAGGTCGATATCATTGCGGACCAATCCTCGCGTCGCTATCTAATGGTTATCTCATTACATGTCCGTTTTGCAGACCGTCTGGTTTCTGAGGATTATCGTTTCGAGAGTGATACTGAAACATCCAAGATTTCGTATAACGTTTCACCATTTTTTTTCTTTTTCTTTTTTTTTTTTTTTGAGAAATCCATGGTGACCTTTGAAGTGTCCTCGAGTAATTGCCGCCATTCATGGAGCCTCGCATTTTGTTCCCTTGGTAATAGTGGCGGCAATAAAATTCAATTAGACTAGGCTTTTATCGCTCGGTAATCGCGTTGCCCGAATGGAAGGGATTTAGTTAAATCTCTCCTCGCGCACAGAGAATCCTTAATTAGCAGGCGCCCATATATAACGTTGTTAAATAATTTCACCTAGCGGAGGTGCTTATAGTATTAAAAAGTGATCCGTCGATATCGAACTAAATTCTTATTTTATATAATGTACGGAGTATATCTGTAAAAAAAAAAAAAAAACAATCTGTTTTAATTCCAGGAGGACCAATAGATTGGAGGAGTCGCGAAATATTTTTGACACGATCGTGAACAACATGATCTTTGGCGGCGTCTCTATCATACTGTTTCTTAACAAAACCGACCTTCTGGACAAGAAGGTCAGATCACCGGACACGAACGTTCGCTGGTACTTCCCGCAATTCACTGGCGATTCACATTCCATGAAAGACGTGCAGAACTTTATATTGGACATGTTCGTGTCTGTGAAAAGGGACCCGAGAAAGCCGCTGTTCCACCATTTCACGACCGCCGTGGACACCGAGAACATAAAGGTAGTGTTCAACGCGGTCAAGGACACGATTTTACATCGTAACCTGGAATCGCTCATGCTACAATAATTGCCGAGAGAAAATCGGCGACCGGTAAGGCTCTCGAAACCGGCTGAAGCTTTAAGACGTCCCACGAACGAAGGTCTTCGGTTCTAATTACACTTAAACCTCAGTCGAGACCGCGTACCGAGGCAAGGTAACGAGTAAATGCCGTATCCAAAATGTAATGTCTGTACATTTCGGTGCGTTTCGAGTGCGAGGATCTTTGGATTAAACAATTTTCCATGCGAAAATCGTTCGTGGCACGTTTGAGACTTCGAGATGATCGACTGGTACACAAAGTACCTAACCGATCCCGACTGCTTTCGCGCGCCATGCGAGAGGAGAGCCAATTTTGTAGTGTTTTTTTCTACGAATAGCGTAAATACTGGTTTAACGAAGTGAGATTCACGTAAGAGGAAACGTATTTATGAATATTCACGGGCGATATTTATCCTCCGTCGCTACTTACACACTGAGCAAGTAGTGTACTAAGAGAGGAGGAAGAGACTCAGTTAGGTCACGAAGAGAGAGAGAGAGAGAGAAAAAAAAACTGCCTAATGCGATGAATTTAGAATTGGAATTTTTGATTTTATATACACACTCGTCGTAATGGTATACTTCCAAGCCCCCTCCAAGCATTTTGATATAAACTTATTGACGAACGAGAGGTCTAAGCTATGGTATATATATATATATATACAGTGTAAATAGCGACTAGTATTTTGTACGTTGTCGATTCATTGTCAACGACGGTGGATCTATATATTTATATAAAAAGGTGATTCGCGATCCAAGACCGCCGTGGCTTGGACTCTTATATTTTGTACAGATATTCGGTACAATGCTGCTCTCTTGACGTTACGATACGTAAAGTTGTACGCTGGTCCGCTTGCCAGAGTGGAGGGGCGAGCGGCTAATTTATTTCTTACTTAGGGCTAATTATATCTCGGTTAACGTCGGATACATTAAGTAACAAGGAAACCAAATAGTAGATCCATGCCATACAAACCAAATGAAACTAACCAGTTTGTGTTCAAATTGCCGTGGACTAAATCCCGCGGGAGAATGTCATTCCTCGCGTGTGACTACTTCCACGATACAAAGTCTAAGCTCGACCGTATAACCGGCAAGTTTCCTGCTATCGGACTTCCAAGTCTCTCGTCTTTCCAAGCGATAAGGCTGCCGATCGCTTCCAAATTATTCCGTTTTCTTCTAGCTGCTATTAGACGTTCTTATTGGCGATCGCGGACTCGCCGTTCGTAAAGCGATCGGGTTAGAAATTCTGACGATTAGGTGAGGATGAGGATTTTGATGAGGATTTTGATAAAAAAGAAAGAGGACGTTAGACCTCGATCGGGAGACTTGCCGGAATGAAATTGGAGTCCAATTCCGAGGATCAAACAAGATGCCTAAATCCTTGATCGGAGACTTTCCTCACGCGTTTCGAGAGTAACATTAGCTTCTTTTTTATGACAATCAGTATTAATTACTATCGAGAGTTTCGCGATCGTGTGCTTGGACACGTTGTTCTTGGTTTCTTCTGTTAAACGTTGGAGGTTCGTTGCTCGTTTCGGCGGCGCTTTGTCAGAACTACTCGTACTACTGTATGAATATGCATGCTCCGTTATATATATATATATACATACATATACATATACGTATCCATACGCGCGCGCGCATATATCTTCACGTTTCCCCGTTATCATCGACCCGCAATTGTATTCCGTTTCGCCCGTAAAAAAAGAAGAAAAAAAGAAAGAATAATCGCGATCCGACCTCAAAGAGCTAGGAACGTTCGAAGGATCCCCAAGCTTGTCTTCCGAGTTTCCTTAGCTAGTTTCATTCTGTAAAATCAACCGATACCGCTGTAATTGACTGCATAAACGATTGCAGTCGTGATCGATCGTGACCGACAGTCGAAAGCCAAAGAGTACCATCTATTGTTGTGTGATGAGTCTACGTTCCGTTCGGCGATTCGTTTCCTTGCATTTAGTTCGTCACCTCGCGGAGCTAAATTTTTTTTTTCCTTTTTTTTTATTGTGATCGGAAAATCGTTCCTTCCCGATCTGTACATTCCTAAGGAGCTGATCAGGTCTGGCGTAATCGATATCTTGGGCGTATCAGTGATCGCTGTTAAGGGCGAACCACTTCGTAGGGGAGAATTCGCGGTCGCATTTTTTTCTCGTCACAATTTCCCGGGAAATCTCAATCGAATTCCTATCGATCGACCCTATCGATATCAAGCGAAGGGCCAACGACCCGCTTTTCGCTCCTCTTCTCCGCTTGTTTTTCTGTTATCAACGCGAAATTTTCGACGGCGATGGTCCTGGCCATGTACAGGCGTTTACACGCCGACGTGCGCATAACAATGTGTAAATGCAGTCACCCGTGTGTCGCTTTTTGACAGGTTTACACGTGTGATTAGGAAAATCGTTAGGACTTATTACTCGATTTGATACCGTACATATGCTCGAGCGTTGACCCTATCGGACGTGCCGATAACATAAGTTACTTTTATCAGCCGCATACCGAAATCTCCCACGTGGGATTTAAATCTCCGGATTTGCTTCGCTGAAGTTTCGGGAAGAAATCGGGACTAAATGATCGCGACTTCGATTACTGACGCCTAGAGAGAAAAAAGGAAAAAAAATGTAGAAGAAGTCATCGAAAAGTTCGCTGTGATACCTGGGCAGCTATCGACCATCTCCTGATTTTAGCGAGGCATTCCCACGAGAGCGCGTTCGTCTACTTTTGTAGATCCTAGTTGAAACTACTGTCTACAATCCGCAACTCGATTATTGCCTTATTATCATCATTAATTGGATAATAAGTAATCAATAATTTCCCGACTTACTGCCATCGGTTATTATAGACTTCTATAATGATCAATTGAGTAGCGATCGGCAATAAGCATTAGGCGAACATTCTGACAACTGAACGTGCTATCATTTTTGTTTGTATTTTTTTTTTGTTTTGTTTAATGGATCATTGCTAGAGAAATACGTCTATATTTCCATTCTGTAAAAAAGGCCTTAATGTATTTTAGTTACGGGCTTTAACTTGACGTACGGCAATATAACGATACACTGATATATATGTATATGTGTTTAATCGAATAATCCGCAGAAGAGCTCCGCATCGTAAAAAGGCGATTTAATTGTTCTGAACTCAGAATTTCTAGAATTTTATACTCGGATTCTACGGGCCGCGTTTTGTATCTCTTTTCTTGGGGAATATATATATATATGTGATCGATGAACCTTTTTACGAGACGAAGCTCCCACCATCGGAGATGAGTACGCCTTGGACAGGCATGAAACTCGCTAAGTATTCTAAGTGCACGCCCCATGTGATACGACGGACAAAGTTTATTTTCTGATGATAACGAGGTGAAAGAAAAAGAAGGGGAAAAAAAACAAAGTTGGGTCGGCGATCAGTGCTTTATCGTAAAAAGGCGTACCGGACTAAAATTGCACGAGCATTTTAGATTTTAATATATATATATATATCATGTCTTTCCAGGGTGTGCACCTATCGTGTATAGCTACATCCATTTCAGAGAGACGGGACACTTTCTCTCCTTTCTATTTCTGTTTTTCCTTCCTTTTCCTTTTCCTTACCGAATACGGCGTATACTTCCTTTCGTTAATGTTGGACAAGCGATATAGATGCATATGTATATCTACGTACGTGGAAAGTAGAGAAAAAGAAAAGTAAGGACGAAGGCTTTATATACAATGCGTTGATATGCCGACCCGCTGTCCCGTCTGTCGCGAGGGCTTTCTGTATATGAAACATTTTTACGTTGTTATTTTATTTGCATTTTATTGTATATGAACCGAAGTATGTAGATATATCGTGCCTTTTGTATATTGTATATTTGTATATAGAAATATTTTATATGAGTTATTGCATTAATGTAGGATATCAACATGGAGAATAAATAAAACCTTGTGAAACACAGACGCCATCGCACTTTGGCGATATTCTTCGCGGATTTGGAATCGATCTATGGCTTTGCAGGGAGTAACGCGGTAATTCGTAATTTCGCTGTATTGCCCTTTATTGGTATTCATAGATCGGCGCGTAAACGTGACAATAGCGTTTATACAGAAACGGAAATCGTAGGCGTATACTTTGTATAACTTATATAGGCTGAGAATGCACATTATTTACACGTATGCAAAAAATAGGTAATAATTCCTCTCTTAACGGGCCCATCGAGATTCCGGGACTCTGGGCCCCATCCTTCACGATGGGGGTTTACACTTTGAAAATTATAAACGTCTATGTATATATTTATATATATATATATCATCCCGACGAAGGTCAGGTCTTCGCCTAAACATCACATTGGCAAATATCCGTAGCCGTTAATTGTATATTCTTTATATTATATTTTAATGGTTAGCTTAGCTCTCTTATATGTTACAACGATATTTACAAGTCTTTTCGATTAACGTGCTGTCGGAAGAATACGCATCAAGGATTTCTCAATTTCGCTTTACGAGTGGTTACGATATGCATACTTTTTTTGATTCAAACAAGTTACAAGGAAATAAAAACACTTTAACGGGGTGTTATACGGTCGACCGTTTCTGGTTCTTGTATACTGTGCGGGAAATATTTGTACCCCCGATGATGAGATTTTGCTTGTTATATTTTTGTGACATATACTTTCATTAATTGCGCAGTACAATTTTACGGAACGATCTACCGATTTTATAATTTTCTCCTGACTTTTGGCAGTTGCTTGATTGGGTAATTGAATTTTATTAATCGATCGTAACTTCGATGGCTCTTAGACAAGAATCACCAAGATGGCGTACCTTCGAACTAAACTAACGAAATAAACAAGAACCGATCGCGCTTCGCTACGCGTATCTTTGCGCGAGTAATTATAACGTTACGTATACACTATTTACACGAATTTCGCACCAAAAACGGTTTAACGAAGAGTATCTGCTAAATTCCCATCACGGATGTAATTAATATAAATGCTCGCAGAGACGTCTCTGTGGCTGTGAAATCATTTTTGTAGACACGCTAATTATTTCAGACAAAATTTGATATACACGTGGCAATGGTTATCGAGAACTATGCATCTTACTCAATTGACTTCGACTTTACTTCCCTTTATGAAAATTTACGTTTCCTTGAGATCGATCGATTCTGCATTTTAAGCTTTTGTCTCGCTAAACCGTGAGATCCTCACTTTATTTTTGGTCTGAGGTCATGGAAGGAATGTAGACACAAAAACCTGTCAGTCTGAACGTTACCCTCCGACTTTTGTTATCCCCTCGGGTTAATTGCTTAACCCTTCCAATTGTTAGAATGTCACCTAAGCTATGCGTTCTATCATCAGTATCAAGTTTTACGAGCTATGGAACGTAGAAAGAAATACTATTTCTGAAAATATGCGGCCCTCTTCCTGTATAGCGTTAGAAAAATCTCGTTTACAAATGGAATTCGTTGCAAGCGCTCGTTCATTGTTTTGCGTTAGAAAAATGTCGGATATATAAATATTCTTTAGATGGAAAATGTGCGAAAGTTCACTTAGCAAGGTATTAACGTGAGAACTGCTTGCGACGTTATTCGGTGTGCGTTATTTTCTATCACGAGGAGAACCGTAAGACTCGCGCTTTGATTCTCCCCTTTTGTTTATAAAAATTTCACATTAAAAAAGAAAAAAGTGTTCTCGTATAAAAATGTCGGATATAAAAGTATATGTCGGATCTTAACGCGTTACGAAACCTCACTCGGCACTGTCGACGCGGATTTATAGTGATATCACTCGTGCATAAATTACTTTGTATCTCCTGCGTCTCGCGTTAATTTAGATAGACAACGACAGGCAGTTTGCATTTCGTAATTAATACTTGTAACGATACTTCGTACTATTGTCTCGGCGTTGCAAAATGCAAGAGCGGAATGATCGTTGTTGCGTCTCGTGATCGAACGAATAATTGACCTACAACGTACAACACCGTACATTAAGATTATCGTACTAGGTTTCCCCAAGATTACGCCCATACATTAACTTTCTGTCTAACCGGAAGTTTACATTCGTACGAGGGTCAAGCGAATGTGCGCAATGTTATAAATTTTCTAAATACCCCCAACGACCAACAACGAACAAAGGTTAACAATTTCAGCTTTCGCCTGCCAGAGAGCGAATAATATCAAAAATACGCAACAAACCTATAACTTCCTTTTTGTGCACTAGTCATGAAAACGGTACAGGAAATCGAACGGAAAGAAAAGAAAAAAAACCGAATTTACTAGTGAACAAATCATTTTACGTAACCTTGCATTAAGCTCCCCAGTAATTTTACTAACGTTTCTTAACATTAAGGAGACTGTCACGGTATCGGGTGGACACCAAACGTGTAAATATTTTTTCAAAACACTACTGCTCGCTACTCCACAAAGAGTATAACGCAGTCTTAACGAGACCCACGCAATTCATTCGCCTCGTATTTAGCACCATTGCAATAACTTATGCAAAATGTCATCGAACCTTTATGAACTCTTTGCACGGATACCGATGAAGTATATGCTTGTTCGCTCTGTTCGTCTTCTCTAGAAAGAGAATACGGTCCATGGTTCATCTACATTTGTAATGGTCCTGATAATGACCATAGAAAAACCTTTCTTCGCAATTGAAAGATTCCTTCAAGGTTCCTATTAGAGACCGAGGAGGATACTCTGCCATCGATAAAAGTCGAGCCTCTCCTGGGTATTGAAAATTGAATTATAACTCCAATTCATCGGCAGTTCGAGATAGCCTATGGTTGTCAATGCGTCTTCGTTGGCTACGTCGTACGGCGTCTGCTCTTCTGTAGGGTTCGGATCGGAGGCCAAGGAGAATGTCTTCCAAGGCACCGTTGTACACCTCGTCCTGCTGCAACAGCTTCTTCTCTTGAACCAGCCTCGTCTTATTCTTCAACTCGTTTATCACCGCATCCTAAGAAAAGAGAACGAATTTATTGTTCCAAGTAGGTCCCATGTACTTTCACTATCGTAATCGACTGATCCTAACCTCAATTCGTTACACATTAGTTTCACGTTTTACTACAAATGGAAGACACGATCTCTGCGTGTATCTGCTTGTACCGAAGCAATATTAAGGCAAACCTATGTCGCTGCAATCGTTACGAGAACGGTAGGAAAAGTACTTTCTCTCAAGCAACATCAATGCAAGCTTGTACATGCCGCTGCACTTTGCCTTTGATCGATGACGATAGATGAGGAATTTCCCTGATGATGGTCGATGATTTCTTATGTTCCTAATGGAATGGCATTTTTATTCGGTGGTTTGCCTGACTTGGCAAAGTGTAACGTCAACACGATTGTGCAAGGTCGGATGGAAAGTATGACCAAGATTGGCGAGAGAATTTCTTTGCACCATGCATGGACCGATGTGAAACAGTTACGTTGTCTTCATCAGCATATTCATTATTAAATATCAAGGCGAGAATTTTGTTATCTAAACATCGAGATGTGAATGGATTGCAAGATAGTTCAATAGTTTAACGATAGCCAAAGTTAACACCGGAAGTACGTGGTCGAGTTTAGGTGGCAATGCATGCCCAATAATTGTGCGAGTGCGCCATCGAAAAAAACGGTTAGGTATTACATGTCGATAGGAGGAAGTGAGTGAGGAGAGACTTACATGTTGTGAAGTGTCTCTACATTGTTACGTTCTGAGCTCCAGTTCATTAAGGTGCCGGTGTAACAGAGTCTTGTTCGTGTTACAGCAAAATTTCGGTGACTTTAAATCCAAATAAATATGCAACAAATAAGAAAACAGTCGTACGTGAGATACGAGGTAATGGCTAACTCGAGGTACTAAAGAAACGGCACTCTCGTGGGTTCACACGTCTAATCAGCGTAGTAATTGCCATAGTCATGAGTGTATCGGTGTAATCGGGCAATTATTGATCCCTGTGAAACGTCATGCTACCTCACAACATGCAACGACTTAGTCAATGGGCCTTTCGTTCGACCTTATGCTACCAAGGAATTAAAACCGATGTGGAGCTGTGGCTTGAATGACTTTTTAAATAATTTCTAATCAATTGCAAGAATCCGACAGTGTATGTCTTTGCAAATAATTGGTATGATAATGGATGCGGTAGCATGTATGGATGTCATGTGTTATGAGAAGCATGCACGTGTTAAATGGAATTTCAGTGAAACATTCCAGTTTTGTGATAAGTATTGAGTGAGATTGATTTTTTTTTTTTATAAGTAATGCTGATTCCACCAAAACGTGTTTTTATCTGGAGTTGACTCATAAGTCGTAGTACTAAATTAACGGTGACTTGATATGGACAGACACGCCGAAAGGTAATGTATAACGAATACATAAATTAAGCACTGATGTTGAGAGAGAAAAGCTTCATTAAAAAAGAAGAATTTATGCAACATAATATATGTAGCATTGACTTCATAATGCAGTATCAAGTAGAACAAAAAAGTACTGTTTAAAATAAATATAGCACAAAGTAACTAGCTAAAAACTTAACGTTGTACACTGTATTTATTTACGCATGCATAGAATAATTAAAGGAAACTCGATATATGCCTGTAACAGAAGTTTCCCCCTTCGTCTTTAATAGCAAAAAAAAGATAACTTATGCAGCACTAAAAGAAATAATTGCTTCCCCCATTGAATTATTTATACCACGATTAAGTGACATCAATTGGCAATTACATTCAAGAATGTGTCCTTCCCAATTTAATCAACACATAGAACATAGAAATATTGAAAGTTATTTCACAGATTTATAAGTCATGCTAGATGTAAGAGTGCCGTGTTACAAAATATCAATGCCGATGCTTTGATATAAAAAAAGGAACTTATTGTTACTCATAGTGAATTAGACGGTCTGAACTGTATATGCATACCTGTTGCTTCTTTTGGTTTAGTTTATTTCTTTTGACGACTTCCTCTGAAGTATTCAGAGCTTCCGCTGCCGCAGCCTCCAGCCTTCGTCGCTGTTCATTTTCCAGATCCGCAGCCTGTACATATGTACATTTCTCAGGTAAGCGACATGATAGAGACCGACGAGTTGCAAGTAACTATCGCCAGCCAAGTTTAATCGTCGTTGAATTACCTTAAAGGCCCTTGCAAATCTGACGAGAAGCGAGAAGAACGTGTTCGCGTCAGCCTGTCTAGGACTCTCGCCGAAAAACTCGACGCATTCGCGGAAAGCTTCTCCAGCAGTTCGAGCGTCCAGCTTTAGTCGCCGCAACTTCTCCTCGGAATTGTTCAAGAAGTCGCGCAACACCGTATTATGCTTCTCCTTTCCTCGGAGCTCGAATTCCTTGCGAACGAGGTCCATGCCCTTCTCCAGCTCGTGAACGTCCGTGGTAATGTTCTCAAGAGAAACTGGAGTCAACATACGATCAATTTATGCAAAATACACAAAATGGGCAATTGTTCGGCTAGATGATAAAAAAAAGAAAGTTAGGAGTAAGAGCGTACCAGTCGCCGCCTTGTCGATATACATCAGCTCGGATTCGAAGTTGATAAGCTCTGGGAACTTGAGCCTGATAGTCGCCACGATGTAGTGCAAAAGGCACATTCGTTTGTCGGTCGACTTGGTGTCCAGCAGAGTGTCGAGACTTTGCAACTTGAAGCCGTAAGCAGGGCCGCGTTTGCTGCTGTTCAAGTAATTACCGAAAGCTAGGATAATCTCCAGGACGGCTCTCAACTTCTTCGAGCTCTTCACGGAGCTCGACGCGGATATCACAGCGTGTATCTGAGGGGTGATAAGATGCAGATTGTCGAAGAAATTCCCAATGTAGTTCATGATAGACAATTTGGTCGATATCCTCTCGACCTTGCCGAGTTGCATGAGGAACTTGTCCTCCTCGGTCAGGAGGTTCACGTTCTTTTTCTCGATGATGTACTCTCGGTAACTCTTGATCTGAAACGACGTTTGCATTCCCATTAGCGTGATTCCAACAAAAAAAGGTCCCTTAAGGAACAGATATTTATGAAAATAAATTCCGTCAATCGAAGTGGCAGGAAATTACCTCCTGATCCGTAGGCACCATGCGTTGTAGCAGCTCGACGTTCTCGAGAGAGAGGATTTTCAAGTCGAGAGCGTTCACTGCCATGATCACCTTCTCCACAGGCATCTCCATTTTTCTCCGCGATATTGCTGAAACCGCAAGCGGCCGCGTTTTACAATCATTTCCTACGTGCAATAAAGACTCCACTTTCCACTCGCCGTAAGTTTCTACGGTACATTACCACGCCGTGTAAAACGAGGGGAAGTTGACGAGGCACCGGCGTTGGAAATTCCCCGGTTCATCGATCATATCAAGGAATAATTTTCCCCTATACGCCTGTGTGAATGATTACAACACTTACCGATATTTCGAAGCCTAGTGTGCTCCAGGAGTGAAACGTTCTCCGGTCTCTTGAACCTCTTGCTAGGGAAGCTTTGAAGACCGTCGATCTCGTTGTTGCCGTTCGCTACGTGTCCTCCCAGACCAATCTTGAACCTCTCCTCGAAATCGGAGAAGTCGATGTAATTGTGCAGACGATCGTCGTCCAGTTCGTTGAATATGGTGCCCCGTACCTGGTTCGGCTTAAGGGCGATCCAGTTGAGCGTTGGGAGTTTGTACTTGGTTTGTACCTGCACGTGAAACATTCACATTTGATTATCTCGCAGCCTAAAGGTGAATCGCTTGAGATGCAGGTTTTCCTCTGACTGGAATTAAGTACCCGAAGTACACGCACCTTTCGTTTAATGGTCATCGCACCGTCCGGTGCTTGCATCATGCCAGCTGGAGGTGGCGGAATCGGTGCAGGAGGTGGAATTCTGTGGTCCCCGGGTGATAAAGGAGCCATCGGTGGTGGAGGTGGACAAGGTGGTGGCGGAGGTGGTGGAGGAGCCGGCGCAGCCGGAGGAGCTTCGTCCGCGACCGGAGATGGCATCGACGTCATCGACGTTTCGTTATTCTCCGACGTGGGCGAATTCGTCGCGGATCCGTTGCGAATACTTCCGCCTGAAACGAATCGAATTTCAATAAAATATCTTCTACACCAATTTTTTTTTTTTAGTGCACCGCGACCGTCGTTAACACCTACCCGACGTTCCCTTCGCCAGAGTTCCGGTGAGGGTCTCCAGCTCGATGATTTTGTTTTCCAGGACGCTCTGTCTTCTCGCCGAGTCTTGTCGCTGTCTCTTCAAGGCGGTCAGCTCCTCCTCGACTAGTCTTCGAGCTTCGAGTGCGTCCGCGTATTCCACCTTTATCGCCCCGAGCTCCGTCTCCAATTCCGCCAACTTTGCCAAAGACTCTCGTTCCAGCTCCGCCATCCTGTCATGGGCCTGCGTCGAATCGAAAACCCCGAGTTCAGTAAAATCTAAAATATCACTCGCGAGCATCGAGGTACGTGATTTTCTTATCGCTTACATGACCGAGCTCGTCCTCTAATTCGGCTACTTTTTCTAGAGCGGCAGTCTTGGTTTCGCTGTCCTCCATTAGGGCAGCTACGTCGAACACATTATCTAGGTAAGCCGAGATTTGAACCTGAAATCCATATACCATAAACGGGGCCATTACTAATCTTAATCCACCATGGATTGAATGCAGTTTCGTTCTTAGTTTCATTCCGGAAGTTATTCGGCCTTTACTCGCCTGCAAATCTTCGCTTTCGGTGTGCCTGAGTTTTTCAAGGTACTCATCAAGTCCTAACTTCGTGAATTCGTACTGCAAGTGTACCCTGAAGTTCATGTCCTCGACCGAATGGACGACAATGTTCACGAACTGCATGCACGCCACCATAAACTCTATATGAAAACTATCGTATTGAGTGAAGTACGCCATCAGCGTGGTAAATCTTCGTCTCTCGCAGCAGACCTCCTTGAAGTTGTCGAACGCCGAGAGGATGATCTCGTGTCCGCCCTTAACCAGACAAATTGCGGCGAGGAGCTCCAAGACCAGAGCCTTTGTTCTGCGAACCCGAGGAACGATTACACACTGTCATTTAAAGAAATGGAGAAGCAAACATTCTTTCCATACCAGACATCAAGTTGGCCCTCACCTCAGACTTTTATGAATCAAGCTGAGAGCGATGCAGTTTATCGCCTCCCGATGCTGTATCACCATATTGAAGCCATACTGCAACGAATGAGATAAACGATATCAACCACCCGTACTCAGATTCTCAGGTTTGTATCACGAGTGCCGTTTAATTTTCGCGCGGCGCCACGGTGGCGCTGCGGTCGCGCCTCGCTAGTCGAGGGCGATTTCTTTTGCATAACGTATTTTCTCCCTAGAAGGGACAATAACTCCAATAACTGAGCTCCTTGCCGTAGAGACGGAACGATCGTTCACCTTATTATTCATGATGGCGCGCATGCACAGTATACAGACGTGGATGTCGTCCTTCGCCTCTCCCATGTTAAGCCGGGCGACGTGTCTCGATCTCCTCTTGACACTGGGGCTGTCTTTGAGGGCGTGCAGGGGTGGCCTCAGACATCCGTTGTTAAGGGGTGAGCCATCGCCGGTTGCACCTATCGTCGCACCCATTTTTAATACTCTCTTTCCTACCGTCCTAATCGTCCCGAGACCGTGTTAAAAGTAATACCGACTGGCTTGGAGCCTCTCCTCGGAGCTGGTGGTCGACTCGTGAAGCCGCTGCTCGTGCCGCATCATCAGCAGCCTGAAGCTGAGGTAGTCTATCAACGCGTCCAGTCCCTGGTTCTCCTCGTCGAGGAATTCCCTGACCCATCTGGAATGGAGAAGGCAAACAACAAAATCAGAGATGCGTCGCGGAATACGAGTGCTTCTCGACTTACGTTCTCGCGGCCTTGTTCCATTCTGCGGATATGTAATACACCCATCCCTCAATTAACGCGGTAAATTATAACACATAGAAGTTTTAAAAGTAACAAGTGTATACAGTAACGTCGTTATTTTTTTTTTTTCTCTGTTAAGCTTTTAGAAGTAAATTCGTATTTCTGAAACTTATATGCGCTAGCTTTTGATTTCCAATATCTTTTCTTTTGTCCTGACAGACTTTGTTTACGGGATGTTCATTCGCGTAAATTGAGGGACGGGTGTATGGATTTTTCAAGTCCTAGTAAAAGTAGCCCAGAGACATAGCCCTCTCGTTGTACTTACTCGATGTGGTTCGTGCGCAAGGATATCTCCAAATCCCGAAGGACTTGCGTCGACGTGGACTCCCCGACCATCTTCCTCTTCTGGAAGAATGTAAGAAAACGATACGACTGTGTAACGATTAGTAACCGTCTCGGGAGTTCTCCTTCGGTGGTGCTCGAAATAAACGAGAAATAAAAAGGAAAAATCACCCCCCTCGTCCAGACTCGGTTACTTGCCGGATTGAATTTATATCGGTATCATTACGCATCATTCAAATCATTCTCCATTATAGACGAGACTCTTACTCGATGACTCCTGGATGCCTTGGGGTCGAGATAGGTCCTCAACTTGGCCAGATAATGGGAGGGTGGGTCCTTCGCCTGTACCCGCTCCTGCAAGCAATATGATTCTCATCACCGGGAAGATTATCTCGCCTACCCGAAAGCTAAAGGAAGGCCCGACATCTCTCAAGCCGAGAAAAATCTACGCCATCCGTCCGAGTAGTTGCCCCACATCGCCGGCACATTTCCCATCCTCTTATTTCTCGGGCGATCCGGCGAATCGGTAAAAAATTCGGACCCCTCCCGGGCGGCGACCCCGATTCGCAGAAGGGACTTAGATACGGATGAAAGGGACGCTGCGAATTTTTTTGCGGCCCCTTGTCTTGTATCGGATAATAGCACGGCTTGCATTACATCCGTCTCGCGTTACAAGGCGTGCACGAGGGGCGCATCCTCCGCCGGGACCGAAACGCGCTTTAAACGACCTCAAGATTACCGTTAGACGAAATAACATCGTCAAGACATCGTAGCATCCTCTCGTCGCAAACTGAAAAGTCCTATCGAGGAATCCGAGGGGTTCTTACCGAGGATTTTCTTTAATTACGTTCAACGATCCGAGGGGCAGCTCGGCGTTCGGCCGCCATCTTGCCCGGCAGCGGTCGGAGAGATGAAACGCAACGTTTTCCCTCAAAGCGCGCGACCCTTTCGCTGGGCGCGTCTTTTGAAGGCGGCGCGGCGGCTCGGTAAACTCGCATTCTGCCCATACATTCTGCTCCCGTGCGTCGTTTCGCCGACCACGGCTTAGGCAACGACTAGACCGGCTTTGCTCGGCACACTCGCCGGTGCAATTTCCACTCGAGACGCGACCCTCTCCCGGCGCTCGAGTCGCGCCCGACCTAACCTCTCCGCGTATTTCCAGGGATAGGCGGATAACCCGATTCCAGGGGGCGCCCGCCCGTCTCGGGTTTTCGCGTTCCTGCGGCCTTTCCGCGTTCCGCGGCGGTCGAAGCCCGTCCAATGGACGCCTTCGGTGCAACGACGAGGTGCACCCGCGCCACCGATCAAACGTAATCGCGCGACCTGCCGTAAGAGGCGCTGAGTCCGTTGGACTAATGGCACGTGACCTCACGCCCGGAGAAAAAGGAACGAGATGTCGCCCCGCTGGAATAACCCCCGGGTGGATTAACGAGCACGTGACAGGACGGCCTGGAGAAAAAGGAACGCAGGACCGATTAAGAGTCCGGCAGATGGAACGTGGCCTAACCTCCAAAAAGCGCGAGAAACTGCCGGTCGCGGTCCTGTACGCAACAACGAACACCTGAGATTCGTAACCGAAGTCGATCGCGGCGACTCTGGTGGGCAAAAGTCTCACTAAAGCTGACCCCTCGCTTCACGGCCGAAAATTCGTCGGATTTTTCAGAGAAGAGAGACGCATACGGAAAACCGGGTACTTTGTGTAAGATAAGGAAAGAATGCTATCTGCTATATATCACCGTTAGATTAAGAGTGATGGAGAGATATGATTACAGCGCCGTCATTCGCTGGCTAACGTATTTATCGAGCATCAAACGTTCGTATTCTTCTCTGACGGTGTCGACGGTTAGTTCAAGCAGCGGCCGCCGGTGGCGCCGCGGTCGGCGGCGCGACACTTTCGCCGCGTTTCACGGACACGGTCGCGCAAAACAGGGCGAGCATGGGAATTTAAGTAATTCGCGTGTAATTACGTACGATTGCGAGCGCTCGCCCCGACCACGGGCATTACGTGTACGCCGGTAACTCGAGGCGTATCGACTCGTAATGCGCCGTCGACGCAACGATTTCGCCGCAAAGTGTAGGTACACAAAGCGAAGTAGGACGCTCAGGAAATTGGTACGGGAAGATTAATCTTCGAGAAGTGGACAGCCTTAGAGGGAGTCCTCGACGATTTTCCCTATAATCGGGTCTAATACACGTGACGAGATCTTGTCGAGGCTACCACCGAACGTAACGACATCATCGAGGGTGATGCGATCGCTTTCGTAATCGCTTCACTTTTTTTTTAAGGCAAAAAAGGAGGTAAACAGATATTAATACCGTGTCGTACGACCGGGACGATGTAATCGGCCAACGATAATTTTCCGCTCGGTGATTACTTTATTTACATAGGAATGCGGCCGAGCTCGGGCATACATTGACGAGGATAACGTCGTCCCGATAACGGAAATCATTAGAGAATAAATAATAAAAGAAACGCGGACGACAATTTTATTCACGAGACCGACGTGAAAAATTTCATTTCAGGTCTTGCACGTCATTACTCGAGAGTGTGCCAAGGACTTCGAAAACCACGAGATCACCCGAGTCATTCTGGACCCATGGCAGTGGACATGTAAACAGGTGCACACAATCAGGCACATAGAGTAAAATTGTAAGATACAAAGATATGAATTTCTTAAAGAAGACCCGATTAGTGCGATATATACGCGAGGGCGTTAATCTCACTCACTTGATCGCAGATGATGTCCCATTTTTTCTCATTGTCGTACTGCTTCAACAGTTTCGCCTTGTCCGGCGGCAAATCCATGGAGGCCTGGAAAAGTAAGCAAATGGTCAAAAAACAAAAATAAATAAGAAACATCGTTCCTACTCGCATAAATGACGTAACAATAATTTTTACAGCCGCGGCCGATTATGCTAACCAAGTCCGTGGGTGAGTTCGAGCGACTCCTTTGTGCAGAGAGCATCGGGTGAGTAATCTTGGCTCTCCCCGAAGAACGTTATTTTTTATTGGCTCCAAGGCCCCCGCGGGAATTGAAAGTAATGGACGAAAAATGATCCGAGTGACTCGTTGGAGCGCGACTCGGCGTACCAGACGCTCGTCGGCCACGGATGAGTCATTCCGAATAGAAATTGCCTCTCCATCCGTGCAACACTTAACTATTGTATTCAGACGTTTCCTCATAGATTGTGCAACCGCTGTAACAGCCGCAACCGCCGCCGAATATTAAGCGGCGTGGAAAAATTAAATCGCGGACGGACCGCGCGCGAGTAATTACGGGCCGCGTATAAACGGAATATCAACGAGCGAGCCAAGACACACCGGCGGAGTTTACGCGGCTCGTTCCGCGGTGCTATTTAATTATTAAACCGCACTATGGCCCCGACTTCCGGGAAGAGCTGGAAATTACAACGTGGCACTCGCCGAGCAAAGCGCAATTCACGCCTACCAAGTTTCTCCATTTCTTTTCGCCGCGTTTCCGCGTTATCCAACTCCCGGAAATTCCGCCAAAGAGTTGGGCCTCGATTCTCGAGTTTATGCGGATATTCCTTTTTTTTTTCGCACACGGGTAGATTCGCATGAAAAATGTTGTACATGCAACTGTCAATTTCGCGTTGGAAAGTTCATACGAATTTTCGCATAAAAAATATCGCAATGCCGCGAAGTCGCGTTATTGATCAACGTTTGAAAGTTGTATATGAACCCTTTCATTTTCCCATTGGAAAGTTCATACGAATTTTTTTTCCCACACGAGTAGATTCGCATGAAAAGTGCACATGCAACTGTCAATTTCGCGCTGGAAAGTTCATACGAATTTTCGCATGAAAATTTTCGCCTTGCCGCGAAGTCGCGTTATTGATCAACGTTTGAAAGTTGTATATGAACCCTCTCAATTTCGCATTGAAAAATTTATACGAATTTTTTTTTCCCACGCGAGTAGATTCGCATGAAAAGTGTACATGCAACTGTCAATTTCGCGCTGGAAAGTTCATACGAATTTTCGGATGAAAATTTTCGCCTTGCCGCGAAGTCGCGTTATCGATCAACGTTTTAAAGTCGTATACGAAACTGTCGATTTCGCCCGGGAAATTTGATCGTGTGAACGGATCAGATTCCTGGACTGTTCAAATGACCCAAAGGAATTTTCGCGTTATTCCCGACGGTTGACGTTACCGTCATCGTCGCGAACGGTTTAATTCGATTCAGCTCGTTACCGATATGAACGAAGCGGTGGACACGAAATGAACGGACGAGGCGTGGCGTAGGTTGCGACGCCTTTCCCAGGAAAATCGTCGACGAGCCGATTACGACTTCCTGGGTTTCCTTCCCCCCCCTCGATCTCTCGATCGTTTCTAACCCCTTGCGATAACGGTTTCAGGGGTCAGAGATAAGCAAAGCGGCTCGGTAACCGGACCGGACGTTTCATCCCATAAAAAGCCCGGTCGAGTGCTCGCGGCGAAGAAAGCACTCGCACAAGGATAGGATATCCAACGAGGACGGTCCGTGGTTCGCATCATAGAGCGAGGGAATAATTAACGCAGAGCGGATGCGGAAGCCACGAGGGCGTGACGTCACTTTACGCCGATGCATATGCCGGCTGAATTGGCAAACCGGACTCTTACCGACGAATGGCATTTGTATTTGTATCCGCGTTGGATTTTGGCCCTACATCGAGCCCAATACCAGTTTTTGTTTTTGCCCAACGCTACTGCAATGCCTCCCCGACGGTCACCCATCCAAGGAGGAGCCGCGCCCGACGTTGCTTAACTTCGGTGATCTTACCCCCGGAAAAAAAAAAAAAAAAAAGTGAATAAATTTAACTCGGTTTCTAACTTGAACATGGCAAACTCGATAAGCGAGTTCACTGTATTTCATATAGAAAATGCGCTGAATTTACTATGTTTTTTTTTTTCTCCCCAGTGTACGGGAACCGGTGCAACGAATCGATGGAGCCAAGGGAAATTCGAAGGAGAGGACGAGCTACTTTCGTCGAAACGTTTCCGGCACGAGATGCAGGGTGTGCCTCCGATAGGTTTGCTGACGGCATCGGGAGCGTCGCGATTGCGTCGTCATATGCGAACGGCATATGGCCGAGTGGAGGCGCCGCCCGAGAGCGACGAGCGTTGAGAGTATGCTGAATCTTCCCACTGATACTGGCTGGAAGGAGCGATGCGTCAAGTCGAGTACTTCAACTCGGTAAACTCGGGTCAAGCCACGTATTCGCGGCAACTCGAGTCATTTTTATCGTAGCTTAAGATATCGGGATGAATGAAACTAGTTACGAGGGTAAGAGCGAGATGGAGTAACGAGGGTGAAGACGAGACCCGGTTACTCGTATCGAGATAACGACCTCGTGTACTCGAATCGGTGATATTTCCAAGTACACTTTTATTCTCTAAACAGTCAATAGTCCTCTTCCCGCGAGGCTGAATCAATGCGGAGGCGTTTCTCCTTCCCTCACCGAGTTGTCACCTCGAGTCGGGAAAGTACTCGACTAGTAAGGTCACTAATTGAAAGACGATTTACGAGTTAACGAGACAAAGATATCTTTCCCCGATGAATTGGGAGACGCTTTTGCAGAATGATCTTCCTCACTTTTTTTTCTTTTTTTTCCCCAGGACGTCGTGGAACCGATAACGCCGCTGCCTCCTCTCGTCTCGGTACCCAGGTGGCGCTCGGATCGACGCGATCCTTTCAATCAACTTCGGCATCCTCTTAACGCCGAGGAAAGATTACTCCCCGAGAGGAGGATACTTTGTAACTGCGAGCCTCCCCGAGGAGAGGGAGAGTGACACAACGACGCACCCAGGGTATCCTTGGGTTACGCCGTTGCGTACGCGCGTACCAGATAGGGAGCGAACTCGGCAACGAGCGGACCGGTCGGACACCTCGATTGCGAAAACGTCCGTCAATGAGGTTCGTTGAACCGCCGGTAAGACGGCGGTATCGGAATACGACCGGCGAAGGGGGGGGGGGCAACCTCGTATTCCATCCCAAGAGCACGAGGTTCAAACGAGGAGTTCGGGTCGCTGATATCGTTAAGGCCCAGGGCCACACGGGCGTGGATTTCGACGTCCGTCGTGGAAGTACATCATGACCTACCGTAATGGTTCCGCGGACAACGTGCGTCGCTTTTATTATAATACGTCCTTCGGAACGAGCGTCGTCCCAACGTCTGTTTCAACGTCCTTTGTGGAAATATACAATGACCTAGTTTAGTGAACCCAGGAACGACGCACGTTACCTGCGTCAAAATACAACGCCCGTCGTACCGCACGTAGTTTTTGACATTCGCGTGGCCGCGGCCTCAGGCCGAGGCCACACAAAAGAATCGTCTCAATGTCCGGCGTTACGTTTGTCGTAAAGGTCTTTTATGACCTATTGTGCCGGTAAAGTACAACGTCCGTCGTAACGCACGGCAGTTTTTACGCTCGCGTGACCTCTGCATAAGTGGGACCGATAGGAAATTGGGGTTGAGGGCAAGTCCGCGACTTTAGGCTGAGGCCGCACAAGCATCTTCTCAATGTCCGTCGTTACCTATGTCGTAAAGGTATATCACGACCTATTGTGTCGGTGAAGTACGACGTCCGCCGTAACGCACGTCGTGTTTGACGCTCGCGTGACCTCTGCATAAGCGGGACCGATAGGAAATCGGGGTCGAGGGCCCTGCCGGAAAATTCCGATTTCCTCGCGAGAGCAAGTGGAGGGGCCTACCCTCCAAGGCGGTCGGCACTTTTTCCGACCCGCGTGTGTAAAAAGCCACCCATGGAGAATATCGACGCATATCCCCACAACACGTCCACGCACACAAAACGGACGGTCGAGAGTCGGACGCGCTCCAACCGCACCCAGGTTTACTGAGCGTGATGGACGGCGATGGGCATCCCGGGGGGGGACGCGTCCGAGGGATGGGCGCTCCCAAATTTATGGAAGGGTTCGCGGGAATGCTCTTGAAAGGCTCGTCAGGAGCGTCATTGTGGTGAGGCCCGTTAGCCCGTTTTGTGTTACGGCAAAAAGTAGTCCGTCATCGTCGAGCCACCGATACGCGGGGACCCTCGAGTGGCGTTTCCACGAGGCGGGGAGCTTTTTAAGCGCCTCGATAATGGCGGCCCATCCTGGGGGTGGATCGAGGGGCCGGCGATCATTACCCTGCTCCTACCCCACGGGCTACGATATGAACGAGCCCGGAAGAAATCGATCGTTTCGACGAAAAAAAACAAAAAAAGTTGCTCCATTTGTACCCGCAGAAAATGATTAGATCGGTTCAATCAAAAATTTGTGCCAATTCAACCGTAGACTTTACCCCACGGACCGTTATCAAAAACGACGAACGGAGAAAAGGGATAGCCTTTGACCCGGTTCCCCTCATCCGTAGGTTCCTCGGAGGAAGACAAAGGGGGTGTCTTGAATGGCGGGGAGAAAGAGGGCGCCGAAACGTGGCTCCCTGCCAAATGGCGAACACGTGCAGTTATTTCTGCGCGCCGGTTCTCCCCGATTCTCCAAACCGTATCTGCATATCGAGCTCGGCCGTGAACTAGGCTGACGTCACGCCGCTACAAACGGAGAGTAACGACCAGCCCAGTTGTTCCGCGCCGTTTCTCAGCCTCTCTTTCCTCTTTCTCCTATCCCTCCTTTTCCTTGGCACTACCCCTCCCAACCTGTTATTCCACGTCTTCTAAATGGACGAAAAATGTCCTTGCACTTAAGAGACTCGGTGCGAACGCTCGTATCGTGTCGGAGAGCATCGGTTCTCGTGGGCTCGTCAAAGTTTAAGAGACGTTGGGCGAGGTCAGTAATTTGGATGGGTGACC